CTTGACCACGCAGCTCTTGGCCCAGATCTCAAGGGAAGAACCAATTCGGACTCCGCTCGCCATGTCCCGTGCAGCCGTGTGCTTGGGCTGCAGTTGCCCTAGCACCCGTGAGATCCTGTGACCTCCAAGTGTGAACTTCAAATCTTGCGCAGGTGCTTTGGGCTTCTGACCGTCTGCGACGCAGTGCTCTTCGCTAAGATGGAGAAATATGAGGCAGACAACTGCAGCGGTCCTATGTACGATTTTGACCTGGATGCCAGCCGTGAATGCCTTTTCCAGAACAACGAGAGATACACCTGCAACGCCACGGGGATTCTCTATGAAAAGTTCAACGGATCCAACTCCGACTGCAGCTCTGCCTTTGACTGGGGAGATTTTTTCCCCTTCAACACCTGTGTTAGGGGTTACAACTACACGGAATGCGTTGACCTACCGGCGGTCACCCTGGAGATGTTCGCAGATGCGGCCTGCACCACCAAGATGGCGGATAACATCGTGCCCCTTGTGGATTGTCGCACCCCTGACGACCGCGCTTCGTCAAAGACGCTTGGGCTTGGAAGGATCTCGTGATACATGGCTGACTGCATTGCGTTGTCACATAATACGCCGTACATACCTTTCAGCTTGTGCATAGACGGGGCGCGTGTCATCACTACTTGCGCATGTTGCAAAGGAGCCGTCACAGAGTTTGCACATGTCACAGCTTCATAAGCTAACTCGGCCCAAGGACTGAGCTCGTGGATGGAAGTTTCATGTACTCCGCGTACAGCTCAAGCTGCTGGGCCCGCACTAGTTTCGTACTTAGTATGCTATGCTATATATAGACCATAGTAGCATACTAAAGTATGCTCTAGTATACTATGGTATACTGTAGTATATCATAGCATACTATAGTGCACTCTGACTCTAGTATTTTCTAGTTTCATGGGTCCCGGGGGCGAAGCACGTTCAAAGCACCTTGAAGCGCCGAGTGGCCCAATAGAGCCAGAGGTTTCCAGCACGAAGTAGTGATATACTATAGTATACCATAAAAAATATGAGAATATGCTATAACATGCTATAATACACTTTTTACCCTCTACAGCCTGTACCTCTCAGAAAGTATCGCAACTTCATGCTGCGATTGAGGGGTGCCGGATGCTCGTTCGTCAGAACACATCACGACAGTTGGTGATTGGCAGGGGGAAGAGCCAACCAAGGTGATTGTATGGGCAACACTGTCGGGAACATCACTGTGCCATGCGGGGGCAATTGTACCAGTGGCATGGGCCAATACGCCAAGAACAATAACGCATGTCCGTCGTCTACCGAGGCGGAACTTCCCGGCAAGTATAAAGACGGGCACGAGTGATTCAAATAGGAGGAACAGTACACAACTCCCTCTGCATGATAAGGATTCACCAGCAGTCGCTGCACGGATGGTCAAGCTGGGTCCCTCCAATTGTTGTAGCACCATCAAATGGTATGAATCTATCGGTGCAAGGGCTTCATCGGCTTGCCCATGTCCTTGGACAGAGCTCGGTGTGTGTTTTCTTACATGGCTTGCTGGAAGCATAGCGCCTCATTCCTTGCTGTCGGTTGCTTGAAGTAGCAGTGGCAGCATAGAGCGACCCTGGCAGTCGACGACCGCATCGACCACAACAACCACGATGGATGCGAATGTGGCCGGAGCCTCATTTTCCTTCTGCTTGTTGAGTCAACTCAGCAGTGGCAGCACTGCCGCGACGCTGCCAGTCGACGACCTCGGCGACCTCGGCCACGAGCATTCTCGGCGTGTTCTGTGCCACCGCTGGCATCCTAATTCGCTTGCTTTGACGGAAAGCTGGCCATCATCTTGTGGGCCCGTGAAGCCAAAGGGCTGGACGGGACCCTTGCCGGACTTTCCTACCTGGGGCTTCGGACTCATAAGGAGCTTGTTCACAAAGGAAGCCCCTATACAAACCCTTTATAATCCCCTATAAACTGTATAAATGTATGAACGCCATATAAACCTTATTGCACTCCTTCTTAAATGCTATATGAACCCTACATATAACTCTCTCTCCTCTCTCTCTCTCTCTCTCTCTATAAAAATAAATATATATATATATATATATGTTTGTATACATACATACCCCCTCAATCCCCCTCACATAACCCTGGAAAAGACACCACATAACCCTCTATAAGCCCACCTGGGATCCTTTCAGAGACATCTTCGCTCAGACTACAATGGGTGCTCGACGTGGAAAAGGTATTGGGTATTATCGGGTCTGATAGCTTTCCCATAGGCATCGGACCATTATTTATTTCACGCAACGAACCACGTCGGCATTCCGCCTGTGATCCTTCTGAAATGCCACTTGTATGAGTCTTGCCGTATGTCTTTGCTGTCCGAAATGCACGGGCAGCATCAATGAATGAGAGTGCGCGAGCCTCGAAAAAACAGCCGGTCGCCGCCGCGATCTTCGAACCTGTGCAACCCTACCGCATGAGCCTTGTCCTCACTGCGATCACGAGAGAGGAACAGGAACAGACCATGCCCTGAAGCTCAGCGCAGCCAGTGGGCAGCGTACATCTCGTCAGGTCGAACTCGGCCGCCTCGCCAAGCCGCGGCCAACGCGTCTTTGGGCCTGTCGAGAGCTCGGATCGCGGGGTGCGGCGATAGAGAGTCAGAGGAGCTTCAGGAAGACATTGCTGAAGGTCCGACTGCGGACGCGTGCAACCTCCTGGGATGTCTGGGGCCGATGAATGCTCTTGAGTTTGAGTTCATTGATTGCATGATGCTGTATGCATGCATGTGTGGATGTACGTATGCGCTCGCACGGATGTGCATGTGTGTGTGTGTGTAAGTCTGTTCGCGTGTGTCTGTGCGCATTTGTCTCTGCGCGTGTGTCTGCGGGTGTGTGTGCGGGTGTGTGTGCGGGTGTGTGTGTCTGTGTGTCTCTGTGTGTCTCTGTGTCTCTGTGTCATTCTGTGTCATTCTGTGTCTCTCTGTGTCTCTCTGTGTCTCTCTGTGTCTCTCTGTGTCTCTCTGTGTCTCTCTGTGTCTCTCTGTGTCTCTCTGTGTCTCTCTGTGTCTCTCTGTGTCTCTCTGTGTCTCTCTGTGTCTCTCTGTGTCTCTCTGTGTCTCTCTTTGTCTCTCTGTGTCTCTCTGTGTCTCTCTGTGTCTCTCTGTGTCTCTCTGTGTCTCTCTGTGTCTCTCTGTGTCTCTCTGTGTCTCTCTGTGTCTCTCTGTGTCTCTCTGTGTCTCTCTGTGTCTCTCTGTGTTCTGTGTGTCTCTGTGTGTCTCTGTGTGTCTCTGTGTGTCTCTGTGTGTCTCTGTGTGTCTCTGTGTGTCTGTGTGTGTCCTGTGTGTGTCCTGTGTGTGTCCTGTGTGTGTCCTGTGTGTGTCCTGTGTGTGTCCTGTGTGTGTCTCTGTGTGTGTCTCTGTGTGTGTCTCTGTGTGTGTCTCTGTGTGTGTCTCTGTGTGTGTCTCTGTGTCTCTGTGTGTCTGTGTGTCTGTCTCTGTCTCTGTCTCTGTGTGTCTCTGTGTCTCTGTGTCTCTGTGTCTGTGTCTGTGTCTGTGTTTGTGTGTGTGTGTGTGTGTGTGTGTCTGTGTCTGTGTCTGTGTCTGTGTCTGTCTGTGTGTGTCTGTGTCTGTCTGTGTGTGTGTGTCTGTGTGAGTGTGTGTCTGTGTGTGTGAGTGTGTGTCTGCGTGTGTGTGTGTGTGTCTGTGTCTGTGTCTGTGTCTGTGTGAGTGTGCGTCTGTGTGTGTGAGTGTGTGTCTGTGTCTGTGTCTGTGTGTGTGTGTGTCTGCGTGTGTGCGTGTGTGTGTGTGTGTGTGTGTGTGTCTGCGTGTGTGTGTCTGCGTGTGTGTGTGTGTGTGTCTCTGTGTGTGTGTGTGTGTCTGCGTGTGTGTCTGCGTGTGTGTGTGTGTGTGTGTGTGTGTGTGTGTGTGTGTGTGTGTGTGTGTGTGTGTGTGTGTGTGTGTGTGTGTGTGTCTGTGTCTGTGTCTCTGTCTGTGTCTCTGTCTGTGTCTCTGTCTGTGTCTCTGTATGTGTCTCTGTCTGTGTCTCTGTCTGTGTCTCTGTCTGTGTCTCTCTCTGTGTCTCTGTGTCTCTGTGTCTCTGTGTCTCTGTGTCTCTGTGTCTCTGTGTCTCTGTGTCTCTGTGTCTGTGTGTCTGTGTGTCTGTGTCTGTGTCTGTGTCTGTCTGCGTGTGTGTGTGTGTGTGTGTGTGTGTGTGTGTGTGTGTCTGTGTGTGTGCGGGTGTGTGTGTGTGTGTGTGTGGGAAACCGAAACTACAACGGGACAGTGACATTCTGAGGTTAGAGCTCACATTGTGCAGGGGGCATGGCGCTCTTACTCCTAGCCATGCTAACAAAGCTATGGAGTTCGAGTGGATGGAGTCACTGACGAGTGACTCTGTACCTGCAGGGTTGCACCTGGATCCATGATTGGATAGCTGGTGGACCCAACAACGTCGGTTTTGCACAGTTGCCGCAATCTGATCGTACAGGTGAAGGTTCCAGGTGCTCCTTGGCTTCAACAACGATAAGAGCCTCTTGAAGCCCCACGGCATCATTTTCATCTTGAAGGTTCTCAGCGAGTTCTGAAGATTGAACTCTATGCTGAGTGAAATTGACCACGAATGAACATTCTACCAGGGAAGCCTGGGTGTTCGAGTGTGAAATGGGCATGGCTTTCGCTCTCGAGGCAGTATCCCTTGAAATAGTGCCCCGAGTGGGACGAGTGATTCTTGGCTAGGTTCATAACAGGCCTCAACCACAAACAGAGCGGAAAGCATATATTTTGAGACCGGAAAGTACCTGCTGATCTCGATGACCAGCATACTCAAGCTTGAAGTTCACTCCGTTCTGAAATGCGCTTGAAGTCGACACTCATGCTGTAACTAAGAGTAATGTAAAGCTGCTAATGCAAGATTCTGGGCTTTCATCATCCTTTTCTTTTGCTTTAAGCATTCTTTTGTTTTAAGTGTCTTTTGGTCTTGAGTTGCACGTAGCAGCTGCGTCCCTCTGCCATGGAGATCAATATTCAAATCAAGAATGCGCAGCCCGAAGACCTGCTGCAGGCGTTTGCAGCATTGAGCGGTGGATCAGCATCCTCGGCACCATCGGCGGCACCCCCTACTACTGGGCAAGGGAGACCGCCCTTGAAAAGAATCCGCAAAGAAGCTCGAGCCACGACCGCGGCAACAAGGAGATCCCCGAGCCTATTATTCAGTCAAGAAGAGCTCCGGGCGCTCCAGGCAGCCAACCCGCAGGGAGTGGTGCAATCTTCTACGGATGTTGCGGAGGACACCGAGACCGGGCAGAGCGCAGCTGGATCCGGCGCCAAGGCCAAGCGGAAGGCTCAACCGTTTTCTGCATTCCGCAAGCACGAGGGACGCACCATGTCCCCTCGACCCTACTTCCAAAGGAGTGATCAGCTTGGAGCAGGAGAAGCCCCGCCTACACCCAGACCTACCTCAGGACTACCAGCACTGCCAATGACATCGCATAACGCATCCTCCGGACCCTCCAGGCCATTGCTCGTGAGGAAGAAGCGTGTGGACTCAAGATCCCCAAGGCGCAGTCCTACAGGGCGAGGTCGCAGCAACTCCAAACCTTCCAGACCGAGGGCGATTTTAAAATCCAGATCGCACACTCCCAAGACAAGATCTCGCACTCCCAGGACAGTGAGACGCTCGAGATATGCCGGTTCTACTGCGCCTACAGCATCCAGACAACAGGCATCAAGGGCATCGGGCTCTGGCAACATTGGCACTACTGCAGCACCGAAGGCGTCATTCACACAAGTGCCTAAGATTGACCCCAAGCTCTACGAGACCCCACGGATGCCATCAAGGATCACATTCAGCAAGAACATCAAGCAATTCCGAGTAAACTGGCGAGACATTGAGATCCCGCAGTTCCCCATACATGACTCTACCAAGCAGTATGTGGACGCACTCTGCGCTGCAGCAGAGTTCAGAATCAACTCCGGAGTTCTCCTGGAGCACGACCTCACGTGGGACAGAGGAGGAGATGCATCGCCAGAGACAATGAGGAGATTCTATTTCTTGCAATCTTCGGATCTCACTTTGCAGGACCCACCTCTACCAACACGGCAAGAAAAGATCTTGTTCTGGTCGCACGCAACAGACGTGGGGGCGCTATGGCATATGTTGAAGCAGCGTGACATGCGTCCGATGATGAACGCGCATGGAGTGGCGGCATTCGGCTGCAACATATTTTATGCGCTAGGCCACGAGATGTCCGGGTCGGACATCGACGAACATAACCTGACCCGGGTGATCTTCAACACCACGCGCAGCGCCAAGAACCTGGCAGGCATCGTCGTGGGCGGACGTGCATGGGGATCTCTTCTCAAACACCTTGGCGGGTCCTATGAAACAGCTCGCGCAGCCACTGAGGAGGATGAGGTGCTCAAAGATGCGAATGCAAAAGCTTATTGTGTATCTCGCAAGAGATACTGCTTTACATGCATTGCATTTGAGCAGCTGATGACACCGCCTTCCACAGCGAATACCCTCATCTCCCAGTACCAAAAAGCTGCAGGCATAGCCCCACAAGGAAGAGCACGGCTTGCACTACTGTAACTGCGGAAACATCGCAGCTCTTCCTCGACCTCGACTTCGGCAGCACATTGCAGATCTTCCTTTACTATATGCCCAGCGACAGACTGCGACGCCAAGGATGTGCATTTTTTCGCAGCAAAAGATGCACGTGCACTACATGCAGTTGTAAGTACATAATCTTTCTTTCTTTCTTTGTTGATGTTCTAACCGTTCCTGCTCCGTTAGCCTTTTTGTCAAGACGGTGCGCTTCAGTAATTCCCAAGAAACCTAGCAAAAGAATGGCCAATGCGTGGACCGGATATTGGTCCCAGGGATCGCAAGACTCGGCATGGTGGCAGCCAGACAACAGAGGCGCAGCGAGCGCCGCTTCCAGTCAAAGCCAAGGCGAAGGAACATGGTGGCCACAAACGGCATGGCCACCCTTGCCTCCACCAGCTAACCCGCCGACGCAAACCGCGCCACTGCCGCCGCCAAGCACACCTCCGGAAGCCCCAAGCGCAGCAGGCCCACCGACATCCACGGCAAGAGTTCCACTTCCCAGTCAATTCAAAGAGGACTCCGAGCACTACGACACCAACCTCGTCTTCAAGTCAACCCTTCGGAAGAACGTGGAGCCGACAGCTTGGAGCCGCGCCAAAGGCCTTGCAGGCATGGACATTCGGGACGTTACTGTCGCGCATCTTTGCAGACATGGCATGGAAGAATTTGGTCTCCGAGGACTTTCCCACGGCAAGTTCACCGGCATGATTTTAACGCGCAACATCGCCGAGAGTGTCTTTCTCTCCCAGCTCCAAAAGAAGCTCCGCGAGAACAACGTCGACGTTGATGCCACCGTCGACGCCATCTACAAGAGCAAAAGTGAGAAAGCCCCGGACAAGGTCAAAGAGGCTACAGCCTTCGTGACGCCCCTGGTGGACACCATCTTCGACGCCATCAAGCCATGGGCGCAAGTTCGCAACTATGCCGCCAAGAGCGCCGACAGCGACAATCAAGCAGCTCAGCGCATGCAGGCCCTCGAAGAGCAGACCGCGAAGTACAAGCCACGCCTACGCAGTGCGGGACTTGAAGTCACTCCCCAGAAAGCCCTTCCACTACAAGCTGAGCCAACAGATGGTCCCTTACAAAAGGAGCCGGCCAAAAACGCAACGAGGACATCCTTGCCGAGCCCCACAATGTTATTCGCGCAAGTGGACAAGAGCCGCCGACCAGTATGACATCGATCGCAACCTGGGTCGCGAACCTCAAGCAAAGCCTCCCCCGAGACAAGCACCCGGAGGTCGACAACCACATACAATCCATGCAGACGATCCTCGAGAATGCCAAGCACACCAAGGCAGAGCTGCAGCAGATGGCCACGCGATGGGGACTCCCAATATCCCTCAGTACAGCGCCAAAGGCATCGCCCAAGAACCTCCAGCAGCTGATTGCGGCTGTCACCTAGCTCGCTGTGTGACACGTGCAAAGGGTCCTGAGAGGACCATTGGCACATCAAGAAAGTGCCAACATCTTCCAGTGACTGCAGCAGATAGTGGATCGGGGGCAGTTTTTGCTTTTTCATGTTCCTGCTATTAACAAAGAAGTTTTGATGTGGTTAGTCGGCCTTATTCACTTAGTATTCACCTTTCATAGAATGCGGCAATCGCCTGCAACAGAGCAACTTAAAGAGCGAGTTCGAGAAAAAGGCGCGGTTCCAGAACTCTACACGTTCGACAAATTCTCCCAGCCTTGTGCCGTGTACATCAAGCTTCTATTCCCACGGCTCAACCAGCAAACCTATGCGACCGCTACCAGAGATGCATCCTTTTGTTATATCGGATCCACCAACATCACTGTTGCCAAGAGAGAATACAACAGGGTTGCAAAACTTCGTCAACTACAACAACTCAAACTACCCAAAACTGAGATTGCCATTCGATATTGGAATGACTCCCAGACCTACCTGCACTACAGCACCATTCTTCTTTCGCAGCACTCGGAGTATATTGACGCCTGGGCCGAAGAACATAGCATGATCCAAAGATGGCAGACAAGCTGAACTACCCGTTTGTCACGAAGGAGCTGGTCAATAAAGCCCATGGTCTCGTTCTAAAACACCAACAACCACACCTTCGACATCCACCTGATTCTCTATGACGACAACTTTTCAAAAAACTACGGAGAAGAATACAAGGACAGAGACCTTCCCTTGTTACCTACCCAAGCAGGCCCAATTCTGGAAACTATTGTATTCCATCTCCAGTGACACCAAACAAGAATTTGAAGCCTCCAAAGAGTTGCGCAGCGGCAAGCACGATGCAGAAACCGTCACCCTGCTCTACAGACTCGCCAACCACATGGAGCAGCCGTTGAGATCAAAAGCTCGAGCTCGACTACGCAAAGTTCTGCAGTTCAAGAACGCATCGGTCCCAAAGCACAATAAGTCCCTAAAAGTTCCTTTTCTGTCCCATGCTTCGTTTCGCACCAATCTCCAAAAACACCTGGTACGACTCAGCAGAAATCATCGTCATGTGCTTGTACCATACCATCTACCCACCAAGACGGTCCAAGAGGCAACGCATCCATCACTACAGCAAGTTCTGTGGAACCACAAGCGGAAGGTCACCGATATGGGCAGACGCTGGAAGCCAACGGAGTGTCAGTGTGCCAAATTCATCAAGCAGCACCCAGGAGCTCAGCTACATGAAGGACACGTGGTCACTGGCCTGGAAACTTTGCAGCTACCTACAACGCACAAGGCCTTCACCAACGTTGGAGCTGGCAACACCTTCTATTCCTCCAAGCAGCGCATCAAGAGACAACATCAGGACCAATTCCAGCGGTGGCTCAAACATCACCAATTCCCTCGAGATCAACGCATACTAGACGAGTTCGACGCCTTCTTCGAACAAGAATGGAAACAACATAGACTACAACTTCAGCGAGAACCAAGAATCACACACAGGCTGGCAAAGAGCATTTTGGCCATGATTCCTGACGACTACATCATACACAACGAAGACCACGCCAACGCACATCTCATGATCTATTCTATTGCCCCACCATCTACAACCAAGCCGCCTACAACACCTGGATGGACAAGCAGACATTCCGAATACTAGACAAGGACCCGGAGGAGATCAAACAGGACATGCAACACAACACCCCCAAGGTAGTCGCAAAGCACTACGCCAAGCTCCTCGCCTACGAAAAGCCCCTGCCGTATGGGTATATACTCATGAAAAGGAAAAAGCGATGGGCCAAGGGGAGGGCCATTATCGCGTACAGCAATACGTGCATCGGCAAATTACTGAAGATCGCGGCCCTAGCGTTACAACAGATGTTGAGGATAACCTGGCCCAACCATTTTGGTGACGTCAGCTCACCACAACTCTGGGAGGAAATACACCAGCTCTTCAACAACAACGAGCACCTGTACCCGGAGCGCCATTTGAAATTTCTCAATCACGATTTGGTCGGATTCTTTAATTCGATACCACAATCCGACATTCTGCAGAGCATCCACTTCCTCACGTCCCAATTCCTTGACGACCACAACCCCACCATCACCGTCGACCCGCACAACAAGATCGCGCCCGCACACTCCGGCAAGTCAACCTACAGCCTCAAATCCAACATGGTCAAGGTACAAGCCGAACACATACCAGCCATCATTCAGTTCAGCTTTGACTTGCGGCACGTCCATGGGAAACCAAATCAGTCCCATCCTTTCTACGCGCGCAATAGTGGCCACAGAAATCACATGGCTACGAATGTACGGCCAGTTTGTCAGCAGCGCCCACCTTCATGACAAATTCTGGATTCGCAGGTACGTCGACAACAGAGCCATCATCGTGGATGAAGAAGAGCTCCAGAGCAATCCATATATCCAGCAGCTGGCGTCATTGCATTTCTACAAGAAGCCAGTACAACTTGAAGATGAAGCATGTGATGACTTCCTTGGCTTCCGCATTCACGCGGATGATCGACGGATCACCTACACCCTCCACCGAGAAGCTTGGAGATATCGATTACCACAATCAGCGGGATCCACAAAACTGCGACTCAGTGGATACCACAGCAGAAAGCACCTTATTCGAACCATTGCCTACCCAGCAGACGTGGCCAAGAAACAGCTGCAGGAGCTTGACGACCTCTACGGTGACTTGGGATTCGCGCATCTCCTAGAAAAACAGCAGAAGCACATGAGTCCTGCAGCGCTTTCCAATGCTTTATTCTGCACTTTTGTTTCCTTCTTTTTCTAGTTTTTTGGTTCAAGAAGGACAATGGTAGGTAGCCGGGTTAAGAAGTGCAAAAAGCAGCGCGCCAATGCCGCCGGAAATGCCATAATCCTAACCGACATCGATACGGACTCTGAAGCTATGGAATACAAGGTCAGACTACCACACGGGCTACCGCTGGACATGAATGCACCCGTGCACTCAGTGGCCAAGGATGACCCGGTAGAACAAGAATGTGAACTACTCCTTCAGCAAAGATACATTCCATTTGAAGTTTTCCCATGGCTCTCCACAAAGCTCAACTCAGAATTCCTTCGAGCATCTGCACTCACCCGAGCAGGCAGACGAGCAACAGCCTATACAGTTGGCACATACTACCACGCGGGCAGCATCGGAGTACGTACCAACACAAGGCAGAGACCATGGACGGCAGCTACACTGGCATACATGGTGCGAGCATGCACTCACACGTCGTTTTCAACGGTGTCCCTATTGCGCAACATACACATGCGCACTCATCGAGACAAGTACAACAAGCCAGGAAGCCTCAATGTAGTGATCCCAGTATCAGCTTTTCGACAAGGACACCTACACGTATGGATAGAGGAAGACAATGGACCAGATCTTTCTCCGAATGGACAACATCGCGGACGTAACATTGAACTCAAGTTGCCCGGAGTTGAGTTCAGCCCATTCAAACTCCACGGCACATGTCCATGGAAATCAGATCGATTGATCATCTCAGCCTACACCACCAATCGCATCGAGGACATATGCAGCGAGGACAAGGGATACCTCCAACAGCTTGGCTTCAACCTTGCCTAATTCGACTCAGTACAACACTGTGGACCCAATTCAATGCCGAAAGTATGATGTGACTGCCGAAAACAGATGCATCTCTATGCAAATTTGTCGCTTCCGTGTTCATTTGTATCTCAGCTAATATTGCGTACCTGTGTCTCAAGCGTTTAAGCAGCTCTTGGCCCCCCGATCTAGCCAGCGACATTGCCAATGCTTTGTGGACGCAGCACGTGGTATCCAGAAGAAGCAGAACATCGCACAGACGTACCGACAGCCCAACTCAACGACATGTACCAGGTGGTGAATCAACTCAGCATTTCGCAGCTCCTGGAGTTGGCCGAATACGTGGCGCGCAGACTGCGCAATGCCACCCGATTCATGTTCGGTGGCGTCAAGTGTGTTATTCCATGTCAGCAGTGTGAGGCCGCAAACTACTGCGATCCCAACTACGCCGTCCAAACATGCGCCCACGTCACATTCACAAAGCTCTGAAGAAAATCATATTTGGCATGGACGACATCTATGTGGTACCACGCAGACTAAACTAAACAGACAGAGGACCATGAGCGGCGATCAGAACAAGACCGAGCCAGTCTCAATTCAGCATGAACATTTTCTGCTTGCTGGTATGATTTAGACCGTACCTTTGTAATCTTTTTCTTGTTAACCTTTTTCTTGTAAGCCATCCTTCTCAAGCACGGTGTCGCCCCCTCCCCAGTGACCAGTCACTTTGCACAATGCGCCGGGGAAGACGCACATCGGATGGAGAACGCCACGATGAAACACCGCGACAAGCAGGCCCTACACAGCTCGACAACATGTACCAAATTGTCAATCAACTCAGTATGGTGCAGCTGCTGGAGCTCGCGGAGTACATCATTCGGAAAATAGCACGAGAGTCACGCTACATGTTCGGAGGCGTCAACTGCACATGCAATTGTCAACAGTGCGAAGCAGAGCACCGCAGCAACCCCGACCTTGCCATCATGTACTGCTCTCACACGTCGCTATCGCAGAGTTCTGAAGACCACCATCAGCGACAAGGACGGCATCTTTGTTGGTTTCACGAAGGTTGAGGCCCAAGCCTTAGCGGCTATTGTGTATGCCGATGTAACACGCATGCAGCTCACACGAATCCATCGTGCTGCCGCTGGGGCTTACATCTGTTTGGTTGTAAGCCTGGCCCATCACTGCGCCAGCACAGCCAAAGGTTGTAGGAAGTCGTCGAACAGGTTTTTGAAGAACTCCCATGAGCAACACCCCAGGAGTTGGTTGCAAACAAATCTTTGAAGTGTAAACTGCCGGTCGAAGGCATGGGGTCATTCACCTCAGACAGACTTAATACACCAAAGCAGAGACAGCAGCAAGCATTGCCGATGGCCGGCGAGGACGGGAGCAGACGTGTGGAAGACCCCTCAACCTTGGCACCTGACTGCGCTAGGCAGATGACGGCGAAGCTTTGGCTGCCTTGGTCACCGAGAACGAGGCCCGACATGGTCCTTTCCAAAACAGTGACGTGCCCAAAGAAGATGTGCTAATCTAGGGACCTCAATAATCCAAACCCTAATAATCTAATTATGAGGGCCCCTATATTAGCACGCTTTTTCCGAAGGACCTCGAGTTCAAGGAGGACGGCAGCGGGAAGGACCGCCTTGTAAACTGCTGCTGTTTGCCGACCACAGTCGTCTTCCTCGCTGGTTTGTGTGATGGCCAGGTTGTCGTCAAGTCAACTGGTCATGAGATGCCTCCTCGACTTGAGGCTACTGGGAGGCATCAATTAAGCGGCAGAAGGGAGTTTTCCGGGTTTCCTGTCGAAACATGCTGAGGTTGTCAAGACCTACTTGAGCGGCGCGAAGTATCGGAAGGCATGTTTGACGCTGCTCAGCAGGGAGGGGTCTCCCGGTGCCTGTGCTTTTCTCGAGCATCCTTCCACAAGTGGTGTGAGAATCCAGAGGGACATCTTAACCTCTGGCCTTGCATGGCTTTTAGCTCGAAAGCTCCCGACCGATGGGTTTGTACCAGGATGCAGCTGGAGCTGGTGCTGCTGCTGATGATGATGCTGATGACGATGCTGATGCTGATGACGAGGATAGGCCCAGCTGGTTTTTCTGGTAAGATGCTCGGGCTCAATGAACCAAGACCTGCAACTGCCAAGGCAGTGTGTCGGAATGGGTGTGAAATTGGAAGAAGTGGACGTGCACGGGCAGACTCCTCGCTGGGCTGTGTTCCTGCAACGAAGTTCCTTTGTCTATGGACCTCAAAGTGACTCTGAGAAATCACAGCACGAAGACAGCCCTGTTCCCGGCCATCGTGGAGGGTCACGCGCATATTGAACGACGGGAAGACCACATGCTCGTGGAAAGCCGTACGGGCGTTCGACTTTCAAGACGGGGCTGCCTCGGGGTGTTTGATTATTTCTAGAGCTCTGGCACCACGAGAAGCACATCCCAGCCGCCACCGGATCATGTAGGAATCGCCAACGATGTTGTTGCTGTCGGGAGGCTCGTGAGTGGTATGGCTACGACTTCAGCAAGTTTGAGCCGTACATCATTCCGAGCGGGCCTCAATTTTCCCGTCTGAGCTTCAGAGTTCCAGACGAGCTTCGGGTCCTGCGTTTGGTCCCTGCGACCCAAATGCCCCAGGCACGAGAAGCAGAAAAAGTTTCTCTTCTGCACGGTGCGCTGCCCAGCCTCTCCAGGACCAGCAGCAGATCTGGTCATATAGGGGCCGATAAAGCTACCTATTCTATTTTGGGGGTTCCTTTCTGTAATTATAGTATCATGCGCCCCACAATCCTATCTCTATATTTTATTAAGGCCCCTATAGAAAGTCCTCCATGCTTGGGAGGATCTTTGCGAGTAGCCAACAACTCTAAGTGCAGAAGCAAGACAGTGGCATTATGGCTAGTAAGCCCACCTAAACCTGTGCGGTACGGATGCGCATTGATATTCATAATCTCACTCTACCCCTAAACTTACGAGCATCGTAGTCCGAAGTACTGAAGTACTCCGTTCATGAACCTGTGCTGCACTTACCTGCGTACTTATGCATGCGCAATCTTGAAATCCAACCTCCCAAGTCCTATTTCTGAGCCCCTAAAGCCCTACACCTACACACCTGAAACCCCCGAAGCCCTTTGACCCCTAATGTAAACCATTCCCTAAACCCCTCAACCCCTAGACCCCTAGACCCTAAATGAGCCCTGAACCCCAACCCCTAAACTCCTATAAACCCCTAAACCCGAAACCCCTTCACCCGTATTACATGTTATATCATTTTATATTATGTTGCATTATATTATATGACATGATATTATATTATATGATATATCATAATATATATATATATATATATATATACACACTATATTATGTATTTACATATTTCTTTATTTTCAAAATTTCTGTTATGTTTATATGTGTATATTCATATAGATTTATGTGTATATTTATATACTTATATATTTGTGTATGCGTTTTTTTTTTTCATGGCTTAGGGTTTAGAAGGCTTCTTTGCATATTCCCCGTGATCTCATAGACATTTGGTGGGACTCACCCTGTGCCCGGAAAGCCCAATGTGGCTGCCTGAGTATACTGACTACTCTGAGGTGGCTCATGTTGGGTTAGAGGCCACCTCCAATCATGTACAATAATTCCAGGCCGCACGAGGTTCGTCGGCTCTCGAATCTTCTGCCCACGAGTTCATTATCTCTTCCTCAATCGTTCAATCAGGCTACAAAGCCAGTTTCGTGTACGGCGAGGATTATGGCCCGGGTTCCCAGAAACAGCTGAGGGTCAGAGGAAGACTTCTGTTGTTTGTTCTGCTGTAGGCTGTTCTGTACATGGCGTCCCTGACATACAGTAAAATAAACCATGAATAGCAAGATCATGGAGGAACCTTTCTTCAACAAGCCATAACATCATGCCACTGGCTTGAAGATGGTGGCGGTTGATCGTGAATATGGTGACGGACACGACGATGACTCCAAGAATGATGAGAACGATCGTGATGCAGGTAATTATTATGATTTTGGTGGCGATTTTTACCATAGTGCTGGCGGTGATGCTGTTGTTGTTCAGGATGATGGTCACACTTGCGATTCGGCATTGCGCATCCGAGTTGACACACTTCTGATCACCTACCTTCCCATGCAAGATGTTTTGGCCAAAGACATGTCACAGTCACAGACATGAGCCAACGAGTTGTCGCCGTGGCAGATGGCGAGGAGCGAGACTGGCTGTTCGAAACAGTGAGAGACGGAGACCTGGCCGAGGCCAAAGAAGCATTGGCCAAAGTGAACATGTCCGAGTTGCACAGCAGCCTGAAGCAAAACGCACTGTTTTTTGTAGCAGCTCGACGCCGCCGTGGCTGTGTGCTGCTGGCGAAACTCTGCATCAGACAAGGCGTTGACCTCGAGCAGGTAGACACCAACCAGCAGACGCCGTTGTTTTGGGCTGCGGCTTCCGGGAATCTGGCCATGTTGGAGTTCCTCCTCAACTTCGGCTTCGAGGCGTGAGGGGTGATGAAAAGCATAGTCTTCGCTGTCGGGATTAAAATAAGCCCGTCGTTGACAAGGTGGCCTATGTAGAAAAGAGATACAGGATTCAACTAGAACGATGACGTCGATGTCCCTGCAAACCGATAGGAGTAAAATATCATGAAAACAAAACTAGCAGTCAAGGAAACGCGTCTTGTCTTGAATTGTCTTGTATTTCAAGCATTGCAGGTGAACTTCAGAGACCTCAACAGAAAAACTGCGCTGTTCTTTGCCATCAGCTACAAGCACTGGGAAGCGGTGAACTTTCTCATAGAGCGCGGGGCTTCGTTGGACGTGAGGTCCACCAGCGGACAAAAGCCACGATCCATGCTGAAATCTGCTCAGCACGAAATTCCGGAAAGGAAGCGCAAAAGAGCTCCTCCAGCGCCGGCCAGCGCATGTCCAAGCGCGCCAACGAAGATCCGCTTTGCTTTGTGGGAATGGGGGGACGAGGATAGCGATCCTTTGATCGAAAGAACATCCGAGAACGTCGTCGTGGAGAACGCAGAGTATCTCAGCTGTTGAAGCAGTATTTAACCAATCACCTTTCTGGCATGTGTTTTTGTATGTGTGCATGTGTGAGGCAGGTCTTTGCGTGAGTGAGTGGGTAGGTAGGGTATGTAGGTGTAGGTGTGTGTGTGTGTGTGTATGTCGTGTGTTGGGACCGATCATCCGGACAACGAAGGTTTTACGTGTGCCAATCGGTGCCAAACTGTTCAAAACGTTTGAGGCGCATGGAGCGTGAGTTCTGCTCTGATCACGCTCACCTTCATGAGCATCACCAATGGTACAATGGTTTGGAGCCACAGCAAGCTGCTGGCCTGGTCAACGTCTCCTTCAAAGATGAGAAGTCTTACTTGCAACGGATTGACGAGCTCGCAACTGCATCATGCGATGCCGGCTTCACCCTACCAGCTGTCTCGCGTGAAACTCGAACAGTGGCTGGGTACGTCCATGCAACTTTCGATAGCGAGACGTTGAAAATTAAGCAATGTAAGGTGGACAGGCCCCACCAAGGAAAGGGCCTGGGGGGTCTGCTGCTCCAGGCCGCCGAGGAGCGTGCCCGCAATCTCGGGGCTTCATTCTGCAAGGTCAAGTTGACCGTCCTGGACAGCAATGAGCCTGCCAAGAAGTGCTACGCCAAAGCCGGCTTCAATGTTTTCACCAGAAGACCTTCGATTTTTCCGCCTTGTTCGTGTCCAGAAGGCCAATGCGGCCACCAGAAGATGCAATGGTTGGACATGCAGAAGTCCACGAGATGAACTAACGTTTGAAAGTCTCACCCTGCCGAACGTCGGCATTCCATGCTACATTCGTCGCCCAAAAGATTTGCGCACGATTCCGGGAACGACCCCAGTTGAACTGCACGTCGGAGCAGAGCCGGTTGCTGGTGGTTTGATGTTTTTGCATGCGATTGACTTTTGAGTTTGAGCGATTCAGCTGCATTTGCTTCGCCCCTGTTAGAGGTTGGCAACAGCGCTCTGCCTGACATGTGCCATGCCAGTCCAGTCGGATACAATAAGAAGGTCCATGGTTTAATGACATCCGGAAAGGGGTTTCGGGGACCTCTACGCTCTCGGTCCCAGGCTGGAACCTGTTCGATTCATTCCTGGTGGTGTCGTCTGTCCTCGATGCCGCAGCCTTAGTGGGGACGTTGTGGTTTGCTAAACCTTGATGCAAGGGCAGCGAGCAAACTCGGTCTTCGGCTTGTGAGCCTTCCTTCACTCCCATTGTGGGGTCATACAAACCAACCAAGAAAGAACATTGAACGACCTTTCCGATGCCTTTTGGCTTTTAGAGTTGATGGTTTGGTTTTCAATCTTTCAGGATGAATGGTCTGATTTTGAATTTACGGTGTATAGGATTTAGGGCTTAGGCTGAACCGTCAGCCCGGCCAAACCTTGGTAGACTATTGGAGCAGGTCGCCAGTTTTGAACTGTTCGTCATGGACTCTTGTGGCGCGACACAGCCCCCGCCCATGCGTGTTCCATGTATCTCCGGAAGACGTTATGGCTGAACTGCCAGGTCATATTGACCTATACCGCCGCGGACATCTCCCCGGCCCTCGCCGCAAGCATGAAGATGTTGAAGCTATTTCGGACTGGGAATCAGCATGGTCTGACAGGTTTTCTTAACCAACGAACCTCATGCAGGGAGACGGAAGGGTTGAACACTTGACGGCATGAGGGATGGACCGGCTCGGTACCAGTTTTCGACCTTCTGCACATTCAGCCGCAGAGCATGTGCCAGATGTTGCTGACTCTGAGACAAACCCATGCCCTTGAACATACCAGCAAGGGCCAAAGCGATCAGACTGCCCGCAGGATCATGCGCGTCTTCCGAGTCTTCCGATTCTTCAGAGAGCTCGGGAACTGGGCGATGATGATTCTGGCACTGCAAGATGGATGTGTGTGCACGCAGAATTCCAAGAATGTTTTGCGGGGAAGTGCGGGGGGTTGTCATGGAAGCGTCAATCAATGAGGGGATCCACAGCATCCTTCAATAACCCCAGAACCCGAAACCGCCTTCTTGCTTCTTTCTTCCATGTATGCCGCAGCTGTATGGGGCGATGCACTTCGCCAAGTCTTTAAACTTGGTCCCAAGGTCAAGGGCCAAGAGGCGATATTCTTTGCCTTTTAGCCTTTTCGCAGTCTCAATCTGCAACCTTGTGACCTGTGGAACCATCTGCACCCGGCACCACATACACCACGCCAAGCCCTAAGCCAAACCATGAACCCTACAAGCCCCAAAACGCCCTGAACCGAGGATCATCGATTCCTTGAAGTCGCTGTTCGGGGCATTGATCCTCCTCGGCCCCTCGGCCCGGACTCGGCAGAACATGTTACGACGGTGCGATCGCTCAGCACAGGTATCATTGTCTACGTCTTTGCGGTGAGCCTTTCCATGAACACTGCAGACTGGCTTCTCCAACAGGACTCGGTCACGCAGCATGCAAAGTTGTCGTCCATAAGCAGTCTGACTGATAGCTTTTGCCAGCCTTTGCTTCAACCGGCTTCCACTTTCCTGTCTGGTCGGATCACGGTGACAGACGTGGAACCCTCCATGCACCTCAATGACCTTCCAAACCGGCAGGAATCTGCTGGCATGGTGGATCGAATGCTCTACGAGGATGTAGAGACCTGGTTCGGCTCGCTGGGCTCAACGGTGCCATGACAGAAAGCCAGCTTCTTAATTCGATGATGCCGTTATAAAGTCATGGATGGGCACCTTAGGTAAACAATTCGAAACGGGTTTGGGGATTCATTAGAGTATACAGCATACAGCATGTAGGCCCAGGTGGGCACTATACGAGGATAGACAGTGTTGCTAGCTAGATTGTCGGAGCTCCAGAATGTCTTCATGAATCTAGCCGAGCATCCGGCTCGGTCTGACGCTCGCAGGATTTGACTTGAAACCGTCTCAGGAAGGATGTCACTACTTGGTCTACTTGGCTTCGCTACAGTTCGATACACTTTGCAGATTGAGCTGCTTTTCCACTAGCTGAGAGATTGTTGATCGACGTGATTTGCGGTGCTTGTTTTTGAGACGCAGCTTCAGGGGTTGGGCGGGGCCCATGTGAAACCAGCCAGGCTCCCGTCAAGCTAAATAACCCTTCGTACACCCTGAACCGAGACTTTAAATCCACAAAAGCCGAAGGCACGGACTCAAAACCCAAAACCCTGGCAGGCCTACAGATCAGCTCATGGTCGAGCTTGCTTTTAAGCCCAGGGTAATCCTTAAGCCTGCGACCCTCAAGCCCCGTTAAGCTTAAATGTTAACACTAGAACTAAAAACAAGACCAACGCCAAACACCCTAAACCCTAAACCCCAGCCAGGTTTATACATTGATGCTGTCGATCCTTGGGGGCGTCAGCTGGCACATCGTCTGCCCGGGGCTCAGGGAAAGGGCGAGCCCTGGGTCAGCTTCGAGGACGACGTGTGCTGTGCGGTTCAGGGCTTCAGGGAACGTGTGGAGCGAATTTGGGGGGTTTAGGGTTTAGGGTCTCTGAGGGCTTGGGGTTAGTGTAGAAGAATGAGTCATAGATACTGCTGCTCGTAAGCGTTCTGCATGGAGCAAGGAAGATAGTCACGAGTGGTCGTGGTGAGGTGGTTAACACTTGAGAGAGAGAGAGAGAGAGAGAGAGTTAGAGAAGATATCCTGGTAATATGGGGACCTTAATAATTACCTGTTCCTGAGTATATAATCATAGCATGATGGGCCCCAACTTGTCAACTCTAATAATTAAGGCCCCTGTAGTAAGCCCTTTATGATCTCGGGGCGTGGGCCGAGTTCCAGTTCTGCAGTTTTGTACTCTTGGACTGTGACTGTTAGCATGAGGCGTAGGGTTCGGCCTTGCATGCGAGCTCCCGATACCGGCTCCACCGACGTGTTCATGCAAGCCTTGGTGTTTCGATATTTCAGTAACGTACCCCTCTCTCTATACTCGATAGGAAACTTACGGGAACCGATTGAACTCAAGAAGCGCGACAAGGACAGGCTGACCTTGCACCGTAGGATTCCTCCCCCCCCCACACACACACACACACACACACACGCGCACGCGCAGCTGTACCAAACAACTTCAAATCTCGGTCCGAACGACTTACAGTCCAGGCGACCTCCTCTTCAGAATCGACATCCTGTCAGCGTGCATGCTCCTGTTTTACATTATGTTTACCATCTTCTCTGTGCTGAACGTGATCACAGGACGGGCGAAATGAGAGGGTCACGGTGTGAAGGGTCAGTCTTCGAACCCTGACACATGTAGGCCCGCACTGCAGCCAAGTTGTTGCGTCATGCCGAAGCGGTTGCAAGTCATGGCATCACACTTCAGACCGCATGATCCCCAAGCTCCTGCAGACACATCTGAAGCGACACCCGGCATCCGATACTGACTCCAAACCCTGCATGTGTAAATCGGCAAATGAATAAACCAATAAGTCAACAATACAATCAACTTACATATATCTAAATACAAAGCATATATATATACACATTCATGTACACATTTACCTATACACACTACAACGACGCCATCAACCCCAAAGCTTCTTTAGCACCGACTCCTTTGGCGAAGGAGTCTTCGTGGACTCGGCCATTCAGACGACGAACTCCCAGCGGGACATTCAGATCGAGCGAGAGCTCGAGTTGAAGGACGCAAAGTGTACTATAGGGGCCCTTTTTTGGGATCCTGAAAGGGTTCTATAAGGGAGTACTACAGGGGCCCTTTTTTGTGATCCTCAAAGGGTTCTATAAGGGATTTATAATAGGGTTCTGTGATGTAGGGACCCGACTAGTACTAAACTAGATATAGTTACCTATACTAATTGAAAAGGGGACTACATATTATAAATTATATAATGTAGGGGCCTTAATAAAAGTTGCCTATGCCATTTCTTTTTTTTTGGGGGGGGGGCGGGGAAGTTCCTTATTATAAGTTGGCTAATTAGTAAGACCCCAATATGAGTATAAAGTCATCAGGTTTCACTTGGGCTTAAATTTTAGGGAGTTACACGGAGTGGTAGTTAGGACTTCAGTTTTGGGAGAAGCGGAGGCGGTAGGGCCTTGGGGTTTAGAAAGTTGGCGACGGAGAGTTCGGACTGTCAGGTTAGGGTTTGCTCAATCCACTAGTTGGTTTAGTCCCATGGCTTCCAGTAGTAGTGCCACGATTGCCAGTCTTCTTGTCATAATTGTCATTGCTGCTGTGGGTATTTCAAGCGCTCGTATCAGCTGGTTCCTTGCTTCTGATTCCCAGATTTGGAGTTTCCGAAAATAGGGGACCTATAATATGGTCCCTGAAATAGTAGGATCCTTAAAGGACCCCCAAAATAAGGTACCCCTAAAATTCGGAAATTCCCAGATCTGTGCAGGACTCCTTCCTGAAGTCTCTCAAGGACTTCTTCGAGGCTTTGGACACGGACGGCAACGGCGCGATCCATGTGGATGAGATCAAGATCATGCTGCAGGAGCTCTACTAGCAGCAGTAGGAGTAGCAGTAGCAGTAGCAGCAGCAGCAGCAGCAGTAGCAGCAGTCGTCGTAGTAGCTGTGTTGATAGAAATCGAAGTAGTCTGGTCGTCGTCTTCGTCGTCGTCGTATCGGCAGCAATAGGAAGAGCAGCCGTGGTTGCAAAATGCTGCGATCTTGGCGCTGAAGCTCAACATCATTGGAAAAACAATACTTGAGTACCAGCGGGACCGTGTCGTGATGATTCGGGCTATTCCTGTTGGTGTTGTTGTCGCTGCTGCTGTTGTCGCATTTGTTTCCTTGGCTGCTGCTGTTTGTGCTGCTCCTCTGGCTGGTGCTGAAGCTGCTGGTGTTGTTGTCATTGTCTCATTGGAAAAACAATACTTGAGTACCAGCGGGACCGTGTCGTGATGATTCGGGCTATTCCTGTTGGTGTTGTTGTCGCTGCTGCTGTTGTCGCATTTGTTTCCTTGGCTGCTGCTGTTTGTGCTGCTCCTCTGGCTGGTGCTGAAGCTGCTGGTGTTGTTGTCATTGTCGTCGTTGTCATCGTTCCTGTTGTTGATGACTCGGTTCATGGTTCTGCTTCTGCTGCTGCTGAAACTGAACCCCGAGTCTCATGCCGAAGCCATGAAAGCCGATTGACAGGACCAGACACTCGCCGCCTACTTCGCAGTCCCTTGGAGATCATGCTTAAAACTTCCGGCAAAAAGTCGCAGGGACCGGCCTTCTGATGAGATTACTTGTTGGCACCCGAACGATTTGCAAGGTTCGGAACCTTGGTCGAGCGATTTCAGGGCTTGTGGGTTCAACGTTTAGAAGGTTGTAGCTTGAGGGATCGTTTGGCGAATTTCTGCCCCGATGTCCAGGAAGGAGGTCGATTACAAGTCCTGCACGATGAAGCTGAGGCCCGTAGTCGTGACCCCTACCGAAGTGCAGCAGGAGCATTGTTCATGCATGGTCGTATGTTGTTGGTTGTACGGACGGGGCAGCATGTCTTAAGTAGCCAGAAGTCCGTAATTACATACCCGTCACTGTTGGCGTCTTGTTGTCAACATGATACCGATTACATGGTACCGATAGTATCACCAGACACCACTGCTGCAAGATCAGTGGCTGCGTGACTATGAAATCTTCACAAGATCCGAATCCCCGAATCCCGAGCTTCCACCACCCCCCCGAACGCTGAGATTCCAAAGCCACTACGACGTGAATCCACGAAACCCTGGGCCTCCGAGCTCCCAGCCCCAAGCTCATGATCTTCTGACAGCGAGGAGCCGAAACTAAGAGCGATAGAATTCCCATCGAAGGCAAAACCTGAAGCCCGAAATTTGCCAGAACTCCTAAGCTCCTATAACTCTCCTTCGGAACTTGAAAGGTGCTGGGCTTTGACGAAGTCAATGCGCACCAAATCTTCCACCTGCTCGACGACGATGAGTCCGGCGAGGCGCAAGACGGGGTCATAAGAAACTGGGGGCCAGGGTTGGGAGTTTGGGACAGAGGGATTTGATGCAGGGCTGAGGGTGAGGGCATGGGACGCCGATCCAATCCCGTGTCCCACCGGTGAACGCAGAGCATGGATCTGCGACCATTGCGGGGCGGGAGTCACGGCTGAAGAGCCGGTGAATGGCGGTCTTGCGGCACTTCTTGCCCCTGTATCCGAAGTGCATGAGCTTCTTCATGTGATTGCGTACGGGCTCATTCAACAGTGGTTCGATGTATAGTTGCCCTACTTACGCCCACAGTGACGGTTGTGCATGGTGCTTGATCCTTGATCATGGCCTGCTTCTGTTTTTCAGGTGAGCATACAGGAATTCCTTGACGGCTGCGCGAAGCTGAAGGGGCAAGCACGAAGCATCGACGTCCATGCGATCATGCACCAGTGCAGGCGAGCTGGTTGGCGACATTGCGACTGTGAATTCTGTGGGATGTGTGTTTGCGAAGGGCCGCCGTCGCAGGTTACTGTGGCTTGTATCTTGGTAGGAATGCTGCTTCTTTTTCAACGATCCACATGCCGAAGCTGCAGATCTACACCTCATCCTTCATACTACAGTCGAGCACAGTAGTCCTCCAGCATTACTACGGTAGTAGAATGCAGCACGTGACGCTGAATACTGGAACAGGACCCTCTGGGCCCGAAAGCCCTCGACCCAAGCCCTAAACCCTAAGCCCTGTACCCTAAGCCTAAACCCTAGGCCCTATAAGCCCTAAGCCCGACACCCAAGCCCCATGTCAGGGCACTCCACCGTGACATCAGCTTCGTCGGCTCGCAGTTGGGTGTGGACCTGCATCAGGCAGCCCACGCAAGCCGGTATCCGCAGCTGCAAGCGTAGGTTAAGGGGGACGGGGGGGGGCACTTGAAGGTCGGAGAGGGCTTTCTGGGACGGAGGTTCCATCAAGCTGCACGGTGCACGTGAAGGGACCCTTGAAAACAGATATTTGTGACTGCGTTGCCGTGGTTTCAAGCGTTTAATGGTACTTGCTGGTAGGGTCTGGAATCCTGACAGGGGGACTCATATTTAATGTTATGCAGGGGATGCCTACAGTTGAGCACATCTCACTCATGGACTCGCAAGAAACCAAACATTGCTCGATTCTGAGCTTCGTTGTGGTCGTGGTGATGACCATGATGTTGCTGACAGTGTGGGAATACCAATCAGGACAACGATGGCGGTCATCGCGGCTGCGCGCATTGTTCTCGTGATGCTGATCCTTCAGCTGCTTCCGTTGTTGATGTTGTGGCTGTGGTTGTGGTTGTCGTCGTTGTCGTGGTCCTCGTCGTCGTTCATCGTCCCTGCCGAAAAACCTTGAAGCCCGGCCTGCGTGCTCCAGCCAAGGCAGTCGCACTGGTTTGGGCGCCAAACACAGCTCCTTGGATTCGTCTTGGATGACCTTCTGGGTCCTTGGGGTTTGGTCTTTCTAGGATTCCATGTGCATGTACACTTAGACATATCACCCAAGCATATACCGATGTACTTGCGACTGTTCGACTTAGCAAGCACATATCTATTCCACCAGGCCTTTTCAATACTATCGAATCATTGAAATCGCCGGTGCTCCACGACGGGTCGGATTCGCAACCCTAAGGTGCAAAGGCTCATCTCCTCTTGTCGCTACACATGCAGCGTTGCTTTCCGTGTCCATCATCCCCCAGCTTTCGGCTGCACTGCTGCTGCAGGACATCCGTTCTGCAACCAAACTCAAAGCGCTTGAGTGCTGCCGCGTGAACGCGCGTTGAATAGAACCCTTTGTCTACCAGACCTGAGTAGGTCAGGAGCCAAAGGGTTTTAGTTGCTACTGCACTGGACCGTCACCGGAACTGCGTCTTTGAATGCTGTCCTTCAACTGGTCGTCGATCGAAGTCGTTGTAGAAAGATCAGTTTCGACGTTGTCGGCCCTGTCTGCGGCCTGTTCTGGACTTGTCCGTGACTATGCCTAGCGGTCTCCATGCATCCCAGCAAGTCCCGTCCGGCTGCAGCGAAATTACTCCTGCCTCGGCCTGAAAGGCCCTGGCAGCGAACGTTTCAGAGCAGCAAAGCTGCCGGTTTAGCCACCTTTCCCGTGGAAGAAGGGCGACACTCAGGGTGCGGTAGGGCACATAGAGTCTTAGACGTAGTGGCTGGCTGTGCTCGGCAAGTGTATTCCCGGCCTTTCAGATTTCCAAAGTCTGGTAGATGATGCCAACAACACATGAAAGATGCAGTCTGATGTTTTGGAGCTTGCAGATCTGCCCATGAGAGGCACTGTAATTAGGCAATCAGCAAACTTTCACATAGCATATCTCAGAAGCTGTCATAACATGCCTCAAGCGGTGCCTACGTGGAATGTGTGTCTTGACCTCGGACATCCAGGGACATGTACAAGATAATGATCGCATCTAACTCGTCACACAAGCCTTACTAACGTCACATATGACTCAACGGCATGCTTTCTCTTCGGATGGTACTGTCGTAGTACACAGAGTCTGGCATGTCGGGTGTGCAAGAGATATGATACTTCCGCCTTGTGGAAGCGGAACGTTACTGTAGATGTGTATTCCTCAGAATCAGAAATGCCGTTTTGTAGACGGTCCGCAGCAGGTGTTTGTGCACCCAGGCTAGAGCCCTCGGCCTAAATTTCTAGCTGCAGGCTCCCGCAGTCTCATCCGCATCCTTGGAGTTCCGAGATGCGCAGCCTAGAGCCTGTAAATCCTAAACGTCCAAGCATCACTAAACCCCGAAGGCTGAATCCCAAGCCCTGAAAACTGAAGCCTAAACCCCGGGGAGCTCTTCTTGAGGATGACAAGGTCTCACAGCCATCTGGGGGGCTGCTGCCCAAGCTCTCTGGGCGACTGAGGCATCTGACGCGACGAACTTGAGAAAACGGCTGTTAGCGGTGGGCTGGGTGGGCTAAGGGTGTCGACCGTCGGGTTCAGAATGTAGGGCCTCGGGTTCATAGTTGAGGCCCAAGCCTTAGCGGCTATTGTGTATGCCGATGTAACACGCATGCAGCTCACACGAATCCATCGTGCTGCCGCTGGGGCTTACATCTGTTTGGTTGTAAGCCTGGCCCATCACTGCGCCAGCACAGCCAAAGGTTGTAGGAAGTCGTCGAACAGGTTTTTGAAGAACTCCCATGAGCAACACCCCAGGAGTTGGTTGCAAACAAATCTTTGAAGTGTAAACTGCCGGTCGAAGGCATGGGGTCATTCACCTCAGACAGACTTAATACACCAAAGCAGAGACAGCAGCAAGCATTGCCGATGGCCGGCGAGGACGGGAGCAGACGTGTGGAAGACCCCTCAACCCTGGCACCTGACTGCGCTAGGCAGATGACGGCGAAGCTTTGGCTGCCTTGGTCACCGAGAACGAGGCCCGACATGGTCCTTTCCAAAACAGTGACGTGCCCAAAGAAGATGTGCTAATCCAGGGACCTCAATAATCCAAACCCTAATAATCTAATTATGAGGGCCCCTATATTAGCACGCTTTTTCCGAAGGACCTCGAGTTCAAGGAGGACGGCAGCGGGAAGGACCGCCTTGTAAACTGCTGCTGTTTGCCGTGCACAGTCGTCTTCCTCGCTGGTTTGTGTGATGGCCAGGTTGTCGTCAAGTCAACTGGTCATGAGATGCCTCCTCGACTTGAGGCTACTGGGAGGCATCAATTAAGCGGCAGAAGGGAGTTTTCCGCGTTTCCTGTCGAAACATGCTGAGGTTGTCAAGACCTACTTGAGCGGCGCGAAGTATCGGAAGGCATGTTTGACGCTGCTCAGCAGGGAGGGGTCTCCCGGTGCCTGTGCTTTTCTCGAGCATCCTTCCACAAGTGGTGTGAGAATCCAGAGGGACATCTTAACCTCTGGCCTTGCATGGCTTTTAGCTCGAAAGCTCCCGACCGATGGGTTTGTACCAGGATGCAGCTGGAGCTGGTGCTGTTGCTGATGATGATGCTGATGACGATGCTGATGCTGATGACGAGGATAGGCCCAGCTGGTTTTTCTGGTAAGATGCTCGGGCTCAATGAACCAAGACCTGCAACTGCTGGCAAGGCAGTGTGTCGGAATGGGTGTGAAATTGGAAGAAGTGGACGTGCACGGGCAGACTCCTCGCTGGGCTGTGTTCCTGCAACGAAGTTCCTTTGTCTGTGGGCCTCGAAGTGACTCTGAGAAATCACAGCACGAAGACAGCCCTGTTCCCGGCCATCGTGGAGGGTCACACAACGTGCTCGTGGAAAGCCGTACGGGCATTCGACTTTCAAGACGGGGCTGCCTCGGCGTGTTTTATTTATTTCTAGAGCTCTGGCACCTCGAGAAGCACATCCCGCCGCCACCGGATCATGTAGGAATCCCCAACGATGTTGTTGCTGTGGGGAGGCCCGTGAGTGGTATGGCTACGACTTCAGCAAGTTTGAGCCGTACATCATTCCGAGCGGGCCTCAATTTTCCCGTCTGAGCTTCAGAGTTCCAGACGGTCCTGCGTTTGGTCCCTGCGACCCAATTGCCCCAGGCACGAGAAGCAGAAAAAGTTTCTCTTCTGCACGGTGCGCTGCTCAGCCTCTCCAGGACCAGCAGCAGATCTGGTCATATAGGTGCCGATGAAACTACCTATTCTACTTTGGGGGTTCCTTTTTATAGTATCATGCGCCCCACAACCCTATTCTAAATATTAAGGCCCCTATAGAAAGTCCTCCATGCTTGGAGGATCTTCGCGAGTAGCCAACAAAACAACTCTAAGTGCAGAATCAAGACAGTGGCATTATGGCTAGTAAGCCCACATAAACCTATGCGGTACGGATGCGCATTGATATTCATAATCTCACTCTACCCCGAAACTTACGAGCATCGTAGTCCGAAGTACTCCGTTCATGAACCTGTGCTGCACTTACCTGCGTACTTATGCATACGCAATCTTGAAATCCAACCTGCCAAGTCCTATTTCCGAGCCCCTAAAGCCCTACACCTACACACCTGAAACCCCCGAAGCCCTTTGACCCCTAATGTAAACCATTCCCTAAACCCCTCAACCCCTAGACCCCTAAACCCTAAATGAGCCCTGAACCCCAACCCCTAAACTCCTATAAACCCTAAACCCCTTCCCCCCTAAACCCGTATTACATGTTATATCATTTTATATTATGTTGCGTTATATTATATGACATGATGTTATATTATATGATATATCATAATATATATATATATACACACACACTATATTATGTATTTACATATATCTTTATTTTCAAAATTTCTGTTATGTTTATATGTGTATATTTATATACTTATATATTTGTGTATGCGTTTTGTTTTTCATGGCTTAGGGTTTAGAAGGCTTCTTTGCATATTCCCCGTGATCTCATAGACATTTGGTGGGACTCACCCTGTGCCCGGAAAGCCCAATGTGGCTGCCTGAGTATACTGACTACTCTGAGGTGGCTCATGTTGGGTTAGAGGCCACCTCCAATCATGTACAATAATTCCAGGCCGCACGAGGTTCGTCGGCTCTCGAATCTTCTGCCCACGAGTTCATTATCTCTTCCTCAATCGTTCAATCAGGCTACAAAGCCAGTTTCGTGTACGGCGAGGATTATGGCCCGGGTTCCCAGAAACAGCTGAGGGTCAGAGGAAGACTTCTGTTGTTTGTTCTGCTGTAGGCTGTTCTGTACATGGCGTCCCTGACATACAGTAAAATAAACCATGAATAGCAAGATCATGGAGGAACCTTTCTTCAACAAGCCATAACATCATGCCACTGGCTTGAAGATGGTGGCGGTTGATCGTGAATATGGTGACGGACACGACGATGACTCCAAGAATGATGAGAACGATCGTGATGCAGGTAATTATTATGATTTTGGTGGCGATTTTTACCATAGTGCTGGCGGTGATGCTGTTGTTGTTCAGGATGATGGTCACACTTGCGATTCGGCATTGCGCATCCGAGTTGACACACTTCTGATCACCTACCTTCCCATGCAAGATGTTTTGGCCAAAGACATGTCACAGTCACAGACATGAGCCAACGAGTTGTCGCCGTGGCAGATGGCGAGGAGCGAGACTGGCTGTTCGAAACAGTGAGAGACGGAGACCTGGCCGAGGCCAAAGAAGCATTGGCCAAAGTGAACATGTCCGAGCTGCACAGCAGCCTGAAGCAAAACGCACTGTTTTTTGTAGCAGCTCGACGCCGCCGTGGCTGTGTGCTGCTGGCGAAACTCTGCATCAGACAAGGCGTTGACCTCGAGCAGGTAGACACCAACCAGCAGACGCCGTTGTTTTGGGCTGCGGCTTCCGGGAATCTGGCCATGTTGGAGTTCCTCCTCAACTTCGGCTTCGAGGCGTGAGGGGTGATGAAAAGCATAGTCTTCGCTGTCGGGATTAAAATAAGCCCGTCGTTGACAAGGTGGCCTATGTAGAAAAGAGATACAGGATTCAACTAGAACGATGACGTCGATGTCCCTGCAAACCGATAGGAGTAAAATATCATGAAAACAAAACTAGCAGTCAAGGAAACGCGTCTTGTCTTGAATTGTCTTGTATTTCAAGCATTGCAGGTGAACTTCAGAGACCTCAACAGAAAAACTGCGCTGTTCTTTGCCATCAGCTACAAGCACTGGGAAGCGGTGAACTTTCTCATAGAGCGCGGGGCTTCGTTGGACGTGAGGTCCACCAGCGGACAAAAGCCACGATCCATGCTGAAATCTGCTCAGCACGAAATTCCGGAAAGGAAGCGCAAAAGAGCTCCTCCAGCGCCGGCCAGCGCATGTCCAGGCGCGCCAACGAAGATCCGCTTTGCTTTGTGGGAATGGGGGGACGAGGATAGCGATCCTTTGATCGAAAGAACATCCGAGAACGTCGTCGTGGAGAACGCAGAGTATCTCAGCTGTTGAAGCAATATTTAACCAATCACCTTTCTGGCATGTGTTTTTGTATGTGTGCATGTGTGAGGCAGGTCTTTGCGTGAGTGAGTGGGTAGGTAGGGTAGGGTATGTAGGTGTAGGTGTGTGTGTGTGTGTGTGTGTGTGTGTATGTCGTGTGTTGGGACCGATCATCCGGACAACGAAGGTTTTACGTGTGCCAATCGGTGCCAAACTGTTCAAAGCGTTTGAGGCGCATGGAGCGTGAGTTCTGCTCTGATCACGCTCACCTTCATGAGCATCACCAATGGTACAATGGTTTGGAGCCACAGCAAGCTGCTGGCTTGGTCAACGTCTCCTTTAAAGATGAGAAGTCTTACTTGCAACGGATTGACGAGCTCGCAACTGCATCATGCGATACCGGCTTCACCCTACCAGCTGTCTCGCGTGAAACTCGAACAGTGGCTGGGTACGTCCATGCAACTTTCGATAGCGAGACGTTGAAAATTAAGCAATGTAAGGTGGACAGGCCCCACCAAGGAAAGGGCCTGGGGGGTCTGCTGCTCCAGGCCGCCGAGGAGCGTGCCCGCAATCTCGGGGCTTCATTCTGCAAGGTCAAGTTGACCGTCCTGGACAGCAATGAGCCTGCCAAGAAGTGCTACGCCAAAGCCGGCTTCAATGTTTTCTCCAGAAGACCTTCGATTTTTCCGCCTTGTTCGTGTCCAGAAGGCCAATGCGGCCACCAGAAGATGCAATGGTTGGACATGCAGAAGTCCACGAGATGAACTAACGTTTGAAAGTCTCACCCTGCCGAACGTCGGCATTCCATGCTACATTCGTCGCCCAAAAGATTTGCGCACGATTCCGGGAACGACCCCAGTTGAACTGCACGTCGGAGCAGAGCCGGTTGCTGGTGGTTTGATGTTTTTGCATGCGATTGACTTTTGAGTTTGAGCGATTCAGCTGCATTTGCTTCGCCCCTGTTAGAGGTTGGCAACAGCGCTCTGCCTGACATGTGCCATGCCAGTCCAGTCGGATACAATAAGAAGGTCCATGGTTTAATGACATCCGGAAAGGGGTTTCGGGGACCTCTACGCTCTCGGTCCCAGGCTGGAACCTGTTCGATTCATTCCTGGTGGTGTCGTCTGTCCTCGATGCCGCAGCCTTAGTGGGGACGTTGTGGTTTGCTAAACCTTGATGCAAGGGCAGCGAGCAAGCTCGGTCTTCGGCTTGTGAGCCTTCCTTCACTCCCATTGTGGGGTCATACAAACCAACCAAGAAAGAACATTGAACGACCTTTCCGATGCCTTTTGGCTTTTAGAGTTGATGGTTTGGTTTTCAATCTTTCAGGATGAATGGTCTGACTTTGAATTTACGGTGTATAGGATTTAGGGCTTAGGCTGAACCGTCAGCCCGGCCAAACCTTGGTAGACTATTGGAGCAGGTCGCCAGTTTTGAACTGTTCGTCATGGACTCTTGTGGCGCGACACAGCCCCCGCCCATGCGTGTTCCATGTATCTCCGGAAGACGTTATGGCTGAACTGCCAGGTCATATTGACCTATACCGCCGCGGACATCTCCCCGGCCCTCGCCGCAAGCATGAAGATGTTGAAGCTATTTCGGACTGGGAATCAGCATGGTCTGACAGGTTTTCTTAACCAACGAACCTCATGCAGGGAGACGGAAGGGTTGAACACTTGACGGCATGAGGGATGGACCGGCTCGGTACCAGTTTTCGACCTTCTGCACATTCAGCCGCAGAGCATGTGCCAGATGTTGCTGACTCTGAGACAAACCCATGCCCTTGAACATACCAGCAAGGGCCAAAGCGATCAGACTGCCCGCAGGATCATGCGCGTCTTCCGAGTCTTCCGATTCTTCAGAGAGCTCGGGAACTGGGCGATGATGATTCTGGCACTGCAAGATGGATGTGTGTGCACGCAGAATTCCAAGAATGTTTTGCGGGGAAGTGCGGGGGGTTGTCATGGAAGCGTCAATCAATGAGGGGATCCACAGCATCCTTCAATAACCCCAGAACCCGAAACCGGCTTCTTGCTTCTTTTTTCCATGTATGCCGCAGCTGTATGGGGCGATGCACTTCGCCAAGTCTTTAAACTTGGTCCCAAGGTCAAGGGCCAAGAGGCGATATTCTTTGCCTTTTAGCCTTTTCGCAGTCTCAATCTGCAACCTTGTGACCTGTGGAACCATCTGCACCCGGCACCACATACACCACGCCAAGCCCTAAGCCAAACCATGAACCCTACAAGCCCCAAAACGCCCTGAACCGAGGATCATCGATTCCTTGAAGTCGCTGTTCGGGGCATTGATCCTCCTCGGCCCCTCGGCCCGGACTCGGCAGAACATGTTACGACGGTGCGATCGCTCAGCACAGGTATCATTGTCTACGTCTTTGCGGTGAGCCTTTCCATGAACACTGCAGACTGGCTTCTCCAACAGGGCTCGGTCACGCAGCATGCAAAGTTGTCGTCCATAAGCAGTCTGACTGATAGCTTTTGCCAGCCTTTGCTTCAACCGGCTTCCACTTTCCTGTCTGGTCGGATCACGGTGGCAGACGTGGAACCCTCCATGCACCTCAATGACCTTCCAAACCGGCAGGAATCTGCTGGCATGGTGGATCGAATGCTCTACGAGGATGTAGAGACCTGGTTCGGCTCGCTGGGCTCAACGGTGCCATGGCAGAAAGCCAGCTTCTTAATTCGATGATGCCGTTATAAAGTCATGGATGGGCACCTTAGGTAAACAATTCGAAACGGGTTTGGGGATTCATTAGAGTATACAGCATACAGCATGTAGGCCCAGGTGGGCACTATACGAGGATAGACAGTGTTGCTAGCTAGATTGTCGGAGCTCCAGAATGTCTTCATGAATCTAGCCGAGCATCCGGCTCGGTCTGACGCTCGCAGGATTTGACTTGAAACCGTCTCAGGAAGGATGTCACTACTTGGTCTACTTGGCTTCGCTACAGTTCGATACACTTTGCAGATTGAGCTGCTTTTCCACTAGCTGAGAGATTGTTGATCGACGTGATTTGCGGTGCTTGTTTTTGAGACGCAGCTTCAGGGGTTGGGCGGGGCCCATGTGAAACCAGCCAGGCTCCCGTCAAGCTAAATAACCCTTCGTACACCCTGAACCGAGACTTTAAATCCACAAAAGCCGAAGGCACGGACTCAAAACCCAAAACCCTGGCAGGCCTACAGATCAGCTCATGGTCGAGCTTGCTTTTAAGCCCAGGGTAATCCTTAAGCCTGCGACCCTCAAGCCCCGTTAAGCTTAAATGTTAACACTAGAACTAAAAACAAGACCAACGCCAAACACCCTAAACCCTAAACCCCAGCCAGGTTTATACATTGATGCTGTCGATCCTTGGGGGCGTCAGCTGGCACATCGTCTGCCCGGGGCTCAGGGAAAGGGCGAGCCCTGGGTCAGCTTCGAGGACGACGTGTGCTGTGCGGTTCAGGGCTTCAGGGAACGTGTGGAGCGAATTTGGGGGGTTTAGGGTTTAGGGTCTCTGAGGGCTTGGGGTTAGTGTAGAAGAATGAGTCATAGATACTGCTGCTCGTAAGCGTTCTGCATGGAGCAAGGAAGATAGTCACGAGTGGTCGTGGTGAGGTGGTTAACACTTGAGAGAGAGAGAGAGAGAGAGAGAGAGAGAGAGTTAGAGAAGATATCCTGGTAATATGGGGACCTTAATAGTTACCTATACTGTTTTGGGGGTTCCTGAGTATATAATCATAGCATGATGGGCCCCAACTTGTCAACTCTAATTATTAAGGCCCCTGTAGTAAGCCCTTTATGATCTCGGGGCGTGGGCCGAGTTCCAGTTCTGCGGTTTTGTGCTCTTGGACTGTGACTGTTAGCATGAGGCGTAGGGTTCGGCCTTGCATGCGAGCTCCCGATACCGGCTCCACCGACGTGTTCATGCAAGCCTTGGTGTTTCGATATTTCAGTAACGTACCCCTCTCTCTATACTCGATAGGAAAATTACGGGAACCGATTGAACTCAAGAAGCGCGACAAGGACAGGCTGACCTTGCACCGTAGGATTCCTCCCCCCCCCCCCCCACACACACACACACACACACACACACGCGCGCACGCGCAGCTGTACCAAACAACTTCAAATCTCGGTCCGAACGACTTACAGTCCAGGCGACCTCCTCTTCAGAATCGACATCCTGTCAGCGTGCATGCTCCTGTTTTACATTATGTTTACCATCTTCTCTGTGCTGAACGTGATCACAGGACGGGCGAAATGAGAGGGTCACGGTGTGAAGGGTCAGTCTTCGAACCCTGACACATGTAGGCCCGCACTGCAGCCAAGTTGTTGCGTCATGCCGAAGCGGTTGCAAGTCATGGCATCACACTTCAGACCGCAGGATCCCCAAGCTCCTGCAGACACATCTGAAGCGACACCCGACATCCGATACTGACTCCAAACCCTGCATGTGTAAATCGGCAAATGAATAAACCAATAAGTCAACAATACAATCAACTTGCATATATCTAAATACAAAGCATATATATATATACACATTCATGTACACATTTACCTGTACACACTACAACGACGCCATCAACCCCAAAGCTTCTTTAGCACCGACTCCTTTGGCGAAGGAGTCTTCGTGGACTCGGCCATTCAGACGACGAACTCCCAGCGGGACATTCAGATCGAGCGAGAGCTCGAGTTGAAGGACGCAAAGTGTACTGTAGGGGCCCTTTTTTGGGATCCTCAAAGGGTTCTATAAGGGAGTACTATAGGGGCCCTTTTTGGGGATCCTCAAAGGGTTCTATAAAGGAGTACTATAGGGGCCCCTTTTTGGTGATCCTCAAAGGGTTCTATAAGGGATTTATAATAGGGTTCTGTGATGTAGGGACCCGAGTAGTACTAAACTAGATATAGTTACCTATACTAATTTGACTAGGGTGCCTTGAAAAGGGGACTACCGACTATAAATTATATAATGTAGGGGCCTTAATAAACGTTGCCTATTTTTTTTTTTGGGGGGGGGGAGTTCCTTATTATAAGTATAGTAGAATATGCACCAAAACCGTTGGCTAACTAGTAAGACCCCTATATGAGTATAAAGTCATCAGGTTTCACTTGGGCTTAAATTTTAGGGAGTTACACGGAGTGGTAGTTAGGACTTCAGTTTTGGGAGAAGCGGAGGCGGTAGGGCCTCCTTGGGGTTTAGAAAGTTGGCGACGGAGAGTTCGGACTGTCAGGTTAGGGTTTGCTCAATCCACTAGTTGGTTTAGTCCCATGGCTTCCAGTAGTAGTGCCACGATTGCCAGTCTTCTTGTCATAATTGTCATTGCTGCTGTGGGTATTTCAAGCGCTCGTATCAGCTGGTTCCTTGCTTCTGATTCCCAGATTTGGAGTTTCCGAAAATAGGGGACCTATAATATAGTACCTGAAATGGTAGGATCCTTAAAGGACCCCCAAAATAAGGTACCCCTAAAATTCGGAAATTCCAAGATCTGTGCAGGACTCCTTCCTGAAGTCTCTCAAGGACTTCTTCGAGGCTTTGGACACGGACGGCAACGGCGCGATCCATTTGGATGAGATCAAGATCATGCTGCAGGAGCTCTACTAGCAGCAGTAGGAGGAGGTGTAGTAGCAGTAGCAGTAGCAGTAGCAGCAGCAGCAGCAGCAGCAGCAGCAGTAGCAGTAGTCGTCGTAGTAGCTGTGTTGATAGAAATCGAAGTAGTTAGTCGTCGTCGTCGTACCGGCAGCAATAGGAAGAGCAGCCGTGGTTGCAAAATGCTGCGATCTTGGCGCTGAAGCTGAACATCATTGGAAAAGCAATACTTGAGTACCAGCGGGACCGTGTCGTGATGTTTCGGGCTATTACTGTTGGAGTTGTTGTCGCTGCTGCTGTTGTCGCATTTGTTTCCTTTGCTGCTGCTGTTTGTGCTCCTCCTCTGGCTGGTGCTGAAGCTGCTGGTGTTGTTGTCATTGTCGTCGTTGTCATCGTTCCTGTTGTTGATGACTCGGTTCATGGTTCTGCTTCTGCTGCTGCTGAAACTGAACCCCGAGTCTCATGCCGAAGCCATGAAAGCCGATTGACAGGACCAGACACTCGCCGCCTACTTCGCAGTCCCTTGGAGATCATGCTTAAAACTTCCGGCAAAAAGTCGCAGGGACCGGCCTTCTGATGAGATTACTTGTTGGCACCCGAATGATTTGCAAGGTTCGGAACCTTGGTCGAGCGATTTCAGGGCTTGTGGGTTCAACGTTTAGAAGGTTGTAGCTTGAGGGATCGTTTGGCGAATTTCTGCCCCGATGTCCAGGAAGGAGGTCGATTACAAGTCCTGCACGATGAAGCTGAGGCCCGTAGTCGTGACCCCTACCGAAGTGCAGCAGGAGCATTGTTCATGCATGGTCGTATGTTGTTGGTTGTACGGACGGGGCAGCATGTCTTAAGTAGCCAGAAGTCCGTAATTACATACCCGTCACTGTTGGCGTCTTGTTGTCAACATGATACCGATTACATGGTACCGATAGTATCACCAGACACCACTGCTGCAAGATCAGTGGCTGCGTGACTATGAAATCTTCACAAGATCCGAATCCCCGAATCCCGAGCTTCCACCACCCCCCCGAACGCTGAGATTCCAAAGCCACTACGACGTGAATCCACGAAACCCTGGGCCTCCGAGCTCCCAGCCCCAAGCTCATGATCTTCTGACAGCGAGGAGCCGAAACTAAGAGCGATAGAATTCCCATCGAAGGCAAAACCTGAAGCCCGAAATTTGCCAGAACTCCTAAGCTCCTATAACTCTCCTTCGGAACTTGAAAGGTGCTGGGCTTTGACGAAGTCAATGCGCACCAAATCTTCCACCTGCTCGACGACGATGAGTCCGGCGAGGCGCAAGACGGGGTCATAAGAAACTGGGGGCCAGGGTTGGGAGTTTGGGACAAAGGGATTTGATGCAGGGCTGAGGGTGAGGGCATGGGACGCCGATCCAATCCCGTGTCCCACCGGTGAACGCAGAGCATGGATCTGCGACCATTGCGGGGCGGGAGTCACGGCTGAAGAGCCGGTGAATGGCGGTCTTGCGGCACTTCTTGCCCCTGTATCCGAAGTGCATGAGCTTCTTCATGTGATTGCGTACGGGCTCATTCAACAGTGGTTCGATGTATAGTTGCCCTACTTACGCCCACAGTGACGGTTGTGCATGGTGCTTGATCCTTGATCATGGCCTGCTTCTGTTTTTCAGGTGAGCATACAGGAATTCCTTGACGGCTGCGCGAAGCTGAAGGGGCAAGCACGAAGCATCGACGTCCATGCGATCATGCACCAGTGCAGGCGAGCTGGTTGGCGACATTGCGACTGTGAATTCTGTGGGATGTGTGTTTGCGAAGGGCCGCCGTCGCAGGTTACTGTGGCTTGTATCTTGGTAGGAATGCTGCTTCTTTTTGAACGATCCACATGCCGAAGCTGCAGATCTACACCTCATCCTTCATACTACAGTCGAGCACAGTAGTCCTCCAGCATTACTACGGTAGTAGAATGCAGCACGTGACGCTGAATACTGGAACAGGACCCTCTGGGCCCGAAAGCCCTCGACCCAAGCCCTAAACCCTAAGCCCTGTACCCTAAGCCTAAACCCTAGGCCCTATAAGCCCTAAGCCCGACACCCAAGCCCCATGTCAGGGCACTCCACCGTGACATCAGCTTCGTCGGCTCGCAGTTGGGTGTGGACCTGCATCAGGCAGCCCACGCAAGCCGGTATCCGCAGCTGCAAGCGTAGGTTAAGGGGGAGGGGCAGGGGGGCACTTGAAGGTCGGAGAGGGCTTTCTGGGACGGAGGTTCCATCAAGCTGCACGGTGCACGTGAAGGGACCCTTGAAAACAGATATTTGTGACTGCGTTGCCGTGGTTTCAAGCGTTTAATGGTACTTGCTGGTAGGGTCTGGAATCCTGACAGGGGGACTCATATTTAATGTTATGCAGGGGATGCCTACAGTTGAGCACATCTCACTCATGGACTCGCAAGAAACCAAACATTGCTCGATTCTGAGCTTCGTTGTGGTCGTGGTGATGACCATGATGTTGCTGACAGTGTGGGAATACCAATCAGGACAACGATGGCGGTCATCGCGGCTGCGCGCATTGTTCTCGTGATGCTGATCCTTCAGCTGCTTCCGTTGTTGATGTTGTGGCTGTGGTTGTGGTTGTCGTCGTTGTCGTGGTCCTCGTCGTCGTTCATCGTCCCTGCCGAAAAACCTTGAAGCCCGGCCTGCGTGCTCCAGCCAAGGCAGTCGCACTGGTTTGGGCGCCAAACACAGCTCCTTGGATTCGTCTTGGATGACCTTCTGGGTCCTTGGGGTTTGGTCTTTCTAGGATTCCATGTGCATGTACACTTAGACATATCACCCAAGCATATACCGATGTACTTGCGACTGTTCGACTTAGCAAGCACATATCTATTCCACCAGGCCTTTTCAATACTATCGAATCATTGAAATCGCCGGTGCTCCACGACGGGTCGGATTCGCAACCCTAAGGTGCAAAGGCTCATCTCCTCTTGTCGCTACACATGCAGCGTTGCTTTCCGTGTCCATCATCCCCCAGCTTTCGGCTGCACTGCTGCTGCAGGACATCCGTTCTGCAACCAAACTCAAAGCGCTTGAGTGCTGCCGCGTGAACGCGCGTTGAATAGAACCCTTTGTCTACCAGACCTGAGTAGGTCAGGAGCCAAAGGGTTTTAGTTGCTACTGCACTGGACCGTCACCGGAACTGCGTCTTTGAATGCTGTCCTTCAACTGGTCGTCGATCGAAGTCGTTGTAGAAAGATTGTTCTGGACTTGTCCGTGACTATGCCTAGCGGTCTCCATGCATCCCAGCAAGTCCCGTCCGGCTGCAGCGAAATTACTCCTGCCTCGGCCTGAAAGGCCCTGGCAGCGAACGTTTCAGAGCAGCAAAGCTGCCGGTTTAGCCACCTTTCCCGTGGAAGAAGGGCGACACTCAGGGTGCGGTAGGGCACATAGAGTCTTAGACGTAGTGGCTGGCTGTGCTCGGCAAGTGTATTCCCGGCCTTTCAGATTTCCAAAGTCTGGTAGATGATGCCAACAACACATGAAAGATGCAGTCTGATGTTTTGGAGCTTGCAGATCTGCCCATGAGAGGCACTGTAATTAGGCAATCAGCAAACTTTCACATAGCATATCTCAGAAGCTGTCATAACATGCCTCAAGCGGTGCCTACGTGGAATGTGTGTCTTGACCTCGGACATCCAGGGACATGTACAAGATAATGATCGCATCTAACTCGTCACACAAGCCTTACTAACGTCACATATGACTCAACGGCATGCTTTCTCTTCGGATGGTACTGTCGTAGTACACAGAGTCTGGCATGTCGGGTGTGCAAGAGATATGATACTTCCGCCTTGTGGAAGCGGAACGTTACTGTAGATGTGTATTCCTCAGAATCAGAAATGCCGTTTTGTAGACGGTCCGCAGCAGGTGTTTGTGCACCCAGGCTAGAGCCCTCGGCCTAAATTTCTAGCTGCAGGCTCCCGCAGTCTCATCCGCATCCTTGGAGTTCCGAGATGCGCAGCCTAGAGCCTGTAAATCCTAAACGTCCAAGCATCACTAAACCCCGAAGGCTGAATCCCAAGCCCTGAAAACTGAAGCCTAAACCCCGGGGAGCTCTTCTTGAGGATGACAAGGTCTCACAGCCATCTGGGGGGCTGCTGCCCAAGCTCTCTGGGCGACTGAGGCATCTGACGCGACGAACTTGAGAAAACGGCTGTTCGCGGTGGGCTGGGTGGGCTAAGGGTGTCGACCGTCGGGTTCAGAATGTAGGGCCTCGGGTTCATAGTTGAGGCCCAAGCCTTAGCGGCTATTGTGTATGCCGATGTAACACGCATGCAGCTCACACGAATCCATCGTGCTGCCGCTGGGGCTTACATCTGTTTGGTTGTAAGCCTGGCCCATCACTGCGCCAGCACAGCCAAAGGTTGTAGGAAGTCGTCGAACAGGTTTTTGAAGAACTCCCATGAGCAACACCCCAGGAGTTGGTTGCGAACAAATCTTTGAAGTGTAAACTGCCGGTCGAAGGCATGGGGTCATTCACCTCAGACAGACTTAATACACCAAAGCAGAGACAGCAGCAAGCATTGCCGATGGCCGGCGAGGACGGGAGCAGACGTGTGGAAGACCCCTCAACCCTGGCACCTGACTGCGCTAGGCAGATGACGGCGAAGCTTTGGCTGCCTTGGTCACCGAGAACGAGGCCCGACATGGTCCTTTCCAAAACAGTGACGTGCCCAAAGAAGATGTGCTAATCTAGGGACCTCAATAATCCAAACCCTAATAATCTAATTATGAGGGCCCCTATATTAGCACGCTTTTTCCGAAGGACCTCGAGTTCAAGGAGGACGGCAGCGGGAAGGACCGCCTTGTAAACTGCTGCTGTTTGCCGTGCACAGTCGTCTTCCTCGCTGGTTTGTGTGATGGCCAGGTTGTCGTCAAGTCAACTGGTCATGAGATGCCTCCTCGACTTGAGGCTACTGGGAGGCATCAATTAAGCGGCAGAAGGGAGTTTTCCGGGTTTCCTGTCGAAACATGCTGAGGTTGTCAAGACCTACTTGAGCGGCGCGAAGTATCGGAAGGCATGTTTGACGCTGCTCAGCAGGGAGGGGTCTCCCGGTGCCTGTGCTTTTCTCGAGCATCCTTCCACAAGTGGTGTGAGAATCCAGAGGGACATCTTAACCTCTGGCCTTGCATGGCTTTTAGCTCGAAAGCTCCCGACCGATGGGTTTGTACCAGGATGCAGCTGGAGCTGGTGCTGCTGCTGATGATGATGCTGATGACGATGCTGATGCTGATGACGAGGATAGGCCCAGCTGGTTTTTCTGGTAAGATGCTCGGGCTCAATGAACCAAGACCTGCAACTGCCAAGGCAGTGTGTCGGAATGGGTGTGAAATTGGAAGAAGTGGACGTGCACGGGCAGACTCCTCGCTGGGCTGTGTTCCTGCAACGAAGTTCCTTTGTCTATGGACCTCAAAGTGACTCTGAGAAATCACAGCACGAAGACAGCCCTGTTCCCGGCCATCGTGGAGGGTCACGCGCATATTGAACGACGGGAAGACCACATGCTCGTGGAAAGCCGTACGGGCGTTCGACTTTCAAGACGGGGCTGCCTCGGGGTGTTTGATTATTTCTAGAGCTCTGGCACCACGAGAAGCACATCCCAGCCGCCACCGGATCATGTAGGAATCGTCAACGATGTTGTTGCTGTCGGGAGGCTCGTGAGTGGTATGGCTACGACTTCAGCAAGTTTGAGCCGTACATCATTCCGAGCGGGCCTCAATTTTCCCGTCTGAGCTTCAGAGTTCCAGACGAGCTTCGGGTCCTGCGTTTGGTCCCTGCGACCCAAATGCCCCAGGCACGAGAAGCAGAAAAAGTTTCTCTTCTGCACGGTGCGCTGCCCAGCCTCTCCAGGACCAGCAGCAGATCTGGTCATATAGGGGCCGATAAAGCTACCTATTCTATTTTGGGGGTTCCTTTCTGTAATTATAGTATCATGCGCCCCACAATCCTATCTCTATATTTTATTAAGGCCCCTATAGAAAGTCCTCCATGCTTGGGAGGATCTTTGCGAGTAGCCAACAACTCTAAGTGCAGAAGCAAGACAGTGGCATTATGGCTAGTAAGCCCACCTAAACCTATGCGGTACGGACGCGCATTGATATTCATAATCTCACTCTACCCCTAAACTTACGAGCATCGTAGTCCGAAGTACTGAAGTACTCCGTTCATGAACCTGTGCTGCACTTACCTGCGTACTTATGCATGCGCAATCTTGAAATCCAACCTGCCAAGTCCTATTTCCGAGCCCCTAAAGCCCTACACCTACACACCTGAAACCCCCGAAGCCCTTTGACCCCTAATGTAAACCATTCCCTAAACCCCTCAACCCCTAGACCCCTAGACCCTAAATGAGCCCTGAACCCCAACCCCTAAACTCCTATAAACCCCTAAACCCGAAACCCCTTGCCCCCTGAACCCCTAAACCCGCCGCCCCTCCCAGAGGTGACCGGAACCACTTTGCCTATGCAGCCCAAGAAGGCTCGCTTTGTGCTGGAGAAGTCGGTATTTATACTGTTTTGGGGGTTCCTTATCATAATGGCGGTATTATTATATACCGCCAAACCCTGTTCTATTTAGTCACCAGGAAGTAATGTAGAGGCCTTAACAGTTACCTATACTATTCTTGGGGCTCCCTTATTATAAGCATAATACAATGGGCCCCAGGGCTCTACTCTAATTATGAAGGTGCCTATATTTGGCATTTCATCGGCATTTTAGGCGCTTTTTGGTTGAGGCTCGAGGGGCTTACGCGGAAGTTTCGGAAGGGGGTTCAGTGGTTAGTTAACTGCTTTAGTAGGGGGGTTCACAGGTTTGGGTCTTTGTCGCCTTTGTGTTTGGGGGCTTTAATGTTGACTTCCCATTCATAACCCCCCCTTGGTTGTTTGCTGGCCCCGGGTGGGGGGGATTGACTATTGAGGGGGGGTCGGTCGTCGCAGTACAATAGCACAGTATCACAATAGTACAGTAGTAGTACTACTGCTGCAGTCTCTCTCTCTCTCTCTCTCTCTTTCTCTCTCTCTCTCTCTGCCACAAGACAAACAACACAAGACAAGAAGTAGCTCATTTTTTTTCGGTTCCCGGCTGGGGGTTCGTAATTGAGGGAGGATTTATAATTGAGTTCCGGGGGTGAGGTTTTGTAATTGAGGGGGATTATAAATGTGAAGTCAACGTTATTGAGATTACCGTCAGAACGATATGCATGCTAGAACATTGGTGACGGCATGAACCTTCGAAATCAAAGAGCGTACTACTGTGCCATCAACATCTGAGAATCTTGCTGACATGGGCCTGGAAACTACGAGTCCTCCTTGAGTGGATCTGTCAGATCAAGACTAAACCACAGGCTTACTGACTCTCACTGTAGGCATTTAGTGCACGGGATGACCGTAGTTCGGGGCAGAGAAAACCCTATGGGTGCTCAAGCCCCAAAATACCAAGCCACGTCCGGCTGTGGGGGCTGCTGTAGTTCTGTAAACTAAAAGGATACTTTCAAGGTACTTGCGCTTGCAGTAGCGGGTTTTCTGTAGCGTATTGGAAGAATCGCTTGCAGGGGCCGAGATCGAGATTCTTCTTGCAACAATCGGTAACTTACAAGGCTTTTCAAATCTGAACAAGAACCCCTTTCAAACCATTTCACAACCCATTGAGATCAGGTAGAACGGCACGTAGAGAGCAAGCGGTACAAGGCCATGTCGCACGGGACAGGGTCAAAGGCTGTTTAGGGTTTTGGGATTTTTAGGATTTCAGGCGGTGTGTTGCGAAAAGGTTGTGTAGTTATGGGTTTTTGAATCTTGGATACTGGTCTTGGGCTCTCAGGTTTTTTTGCGTATTGGTCAAAGTGGCGGTGCTGCTGCTGATGCAGTGGCCGGTACTGGTGGTGATGGTCATGACGTTGGTGAGGGCGCTGGTTCAAGTTATTCAGTCATGGTAACAGTGATGACCGTGATGATGAAGTGGCAATGCTGGCGATAGTCAGCATGACCGGGTGATGATCATGATGATGAGGATGATGATCAATAACCATGTTTGGATCATGGCGATGACGCTGATGATGGTAGTGCTGATGATGATGATGATTGTGATGATGATGATGACCAGATGCTAGTTGTGCTGATGATGATGATGATGATGATGGTCGTTGGGTGATGATGATGCTAGCACTGCTGACAACAGTGATGAGGACGACGGTGATCCTGGAGGTGTTACGAAGGTGCTGCTACTGGCTATGCGCGTGAGCAGCAAATCCCAAACACAACTGCCAAACCCTAGCTTGTGAGGGTTAGAGCGCACTTCTTTTAGGCACAGGCAACCAAGATACACAATTGCGAAAGCTACTGTATACTGTACAAACTTTCACTCTGTAGCGTGCTACTTCGGATACTCTTTGGCTGCTTGAATGTTCTTCGTGATTTGTGCGTGTTATCCTTGCAGAAAAAGGGGCCATGCCTGTGAGCCTAGTCCGCCTGCCAGATGATCTTGCACAGCTCTGCTGTCGCCACCGCTGCAGGCACCGAGGCTCGTACCTGAGCCAGGCCATTCTGATCAAATCATTCACGCTCTCCCCCTGGGTTGCGTAGCAGCCCACTCGACCAGGAACTCTGTTCGTCCCCTCCAGCTGCGATCACGCGGTCGCTGTCCTTGTCGTAGCCAGTTGTCGTCAATAATCTCTGTGGTACCGTCATGATACCACAAGAGCGTCCGCCTTGAACCAACCAGCATGTTCACAGCCAAGTGTCCAGGCAGCCTGCTTCCCCGCGGTGAGAACAACTGTACACGTGGAGCTGCATGCCACCGTACTAGCACAAATGGTCGCTATGGCGAGTACAGGTAGAAGTCCCTGATTCCAGCGGGAGGTAGCTGATGAATACTGCTCTGCAAATCTCCCCAAGTGGAGGCTCGGAGTGCCAACTCAGCAACTGGTAACTGTACAGGAGCCGGCCATTGTGGATTAGGGTTAACAGGAGGGTCAGGGAGAGCTGGGTGCATCTGAGGATTGCTGCGCGCGATAGCTTGATCTCGCAGTTGCTCATAATCTAGCACCCGCACAGCAGGTTCCCCTTCACCTCCACCTTGTGGAAGCTGCTCAACTAGATCCTCATACGTCAAGACCCTGGGGGGGACATCGGGCCCAGGCGAGGGTGGCGGAGCCACATGAAGTTCTTCAGGGAGTGGTACTTCTACGACATCATCAGCATACTGAAACCGCATGACTGGTCGCTGAGGCCTCTGAGGCTCAAACTCTGGTTCTTCTCTGTACACTCTTTGTCCTACTGGCCTATGGCGAAGCTGCGGTGGTTGGGGGGTAGGACTAGGAGGGCGAGGCGGAGGATCTACGACTTCCGTTAGGTCATCTTCGTCATCAGGCTGTGCTTCGGACAGCACATCCGCTTCCTCCTCGGGTTCGTCAAAGCTTCTCCGAAGCCACCACGCGCTAGACAAAACCCTAAAACCCTGAACAAGCTTCCTACTCAACCATTTCGCTCCTTCCCACAGAACGATACTGCAGATAGCTACCATACCAAGCAGCGCCCAGAACTCCCACTCATGAGTACTGCTTTCGTGTGAGCGGCCTGCGGCTCCTTCAACGACACCAACACACAGTAGCAAGGTCAGCGAAGCAATGGTAGACGTGTGAACCCTCACAGAGCTAGCCGTTGCAGGAGTCGCAACATCACAAGTCAAACTAGACAAGCCAAGTATCGCAATCAACTCCCTCAACCTACTCACAGGCACACTCTTTGTCCCCAGGTCAGCTCCATTGCTGACCCCTGGAACGTAACCTATGCCAACATTGTCAGCCTGAAACTCCTCCTTGAGGGCAGCAGCCCGTATTCTAAGATGTCTTGTACGCCACGACGCATTATCTACTGTGATGATCTGCAGGGCTGCCTTGTTGTCGTTTAGAACTGTGAGGCGAACATTACACCCAAACAGCTCTGATGCCAAATATTGATGTGCCCTACCGAGCTGATATCCGGTCATAGTGCTGAGTAGCTCAGCCTCAGCTGTAGATTGGGCGGTGAAGGGCTGCTTGCTCGACAGCCACGTGACCAAACACCCATCCTGATATGCTATGACACACTCGTGGGAACGCCCCGCCGCTGGGGCAAAAGATGCATCAGTGTGCACGGTGATGTGATGCAAGGCCTCTGATGCTATGCCACATGACAGCTCCTGGGTACGATCATCCGCGCTGTAGGCCAGCACCGTATCTACGGTGTTGAAAACGTACCCTAAAAGGTGTTCAATGTAAGGCAGCGTGCCAGTGGGATTTCGGGACATGCTAGATGCCAACTTGCTTACACCAAACATCAAATCAGGCCTTGTCCTCATAGCTACCCAGAGTACTTCACCTAGCATACCCTGACACGACCTGAGTGCACTTGGGTCTCGTTCCTCAGGGCTCACCTCAGGAATGTCGATGTTACCAGGCGGCAACGGCACACACTGCATCTTGATGTGTGGGTACCTAGTCTGGAGATCACGAATGTAACCTTGTTGGCCCAACAGAAGTTGATCACCCTTCCACGCGAACTCAATCCCAAAGAAAGCCGCCGTGCCCTGAGATAAATCCGGAATTTCCTTTACCGAACCTGTTTCCCAAGTGGCTCGAAACTTGTTGACAAGAGCCAAAGCGAACACCCTCTGACCCATAATAAACAGGTCGTCGACGTAGACTGCAATCCACGCCAACGCCTGTCCAGGCTCACCGTCCTTACTGACATTCGGCAACCTAAGTGACCACACCTGGGAATCAGCAGCCGATGGCACTAGTACCATTTCCTTACCAATCGCCTCCCGAAGCATCGGATCAAGTGTGGACAGCTCAACCTCCGTGAAATCCGAAATTGAAACCGAAATCCTCATGTCAGTAATGGTTTGGTCCCGTGTGATACCCCAGTCCCTAGGTGATTGAGGCAGGCCGTAAACGGCACGGAGACACAGATAGAACTCGTCTTTATCGGCGAGGCCGTGTGCGATCAAGACTTTGGGCGGACGAACAGCAATGAGCTCCGTAGGATTGTCAGTGAGTGTTGGCGCGGGCGCCGTCCGAGGTTTGAATGGGTCTAACAGCAGACTATTCAAAAAGGCGGTTTTAATGTCAAGGATGTAGCCGGCCCACTTGGCCTTAGCACCTCGTGCCGCGATTTGCCGAACGTGTGCAACCTCACATCCTGCCGCATACAATGACGCTTTCTGCTGACCGCTGCCATCTTCGCCCCAACCCTCTGGAACAAAGTTCCCACAAATAACAATCCTTGTTTTGTACCGTCCGCCGCTTTTTCGTGTAAAGATGGCCTTACCTGGAACAATGGTTACGCGAGCACCTTCTGCTTCCAAGCGCCGAATGTCGGCAAGCGTGATGCGTTTAAAGGCCTTCTTGTCATCAATGAGTGAATACAGCTCCGCTTCAGCTGACCCTCTCCACCGACTGAAATACTTGTACACTTCTGGTAATGGCACGGTATGCGTACTTAGCACCTCACAGTCCGGTAAGAGGGAGTACTCAATCTCAGATGGGACTTGTGCTGCTGCCTTATCTTGAGCTTGCAACAACCTTTTAACCGCATGAACCAAAGTTGATTCAGCAACATCCCGATCATCAGACCCTTCGGGCTCGCGGCTTAAGGACTTACTCTCTCGTGCAATCAACGCCTTTAAGCTAAGAGCACGACTTTCGCAATCCTCAAAGCCCGCACTCCCCGATGAGCCAAGACTCTCATCATCACCACTTTGGGGGCAACCGTCAGGAAAACCAAACTCTGAAGCTTCCAAAACAACAGAGTCAACACCCCAATCAAATCCCCCAAACTCTCCAACACCAATGGCTTCACAGTCATCGCCGCAAAACCTCATCAGATCAACACCAGGTGCCTCGAGAATGCCGTCATCACGAGTATCGAAACCTCCAGTCCCGACATCCAGCACTCCCCCGGACCCATTAAATCGCTGCCCCGCTAATGTGTTCCTTACCGGGGCGGCCAAACTAGCTTCACAGGGCACCTCAAGAGCGTCATCGAAACCTCCAGTCTCGGCATCCAACGCTCCCGCGAACCCATTAACTTGCTGCCCCGCTAATGTGCTCCTTACCGGGGCGGCCGCAACCGACTCATTGTTGTTCGGCGGACCGCTACCGAAAGCTGCGGACTTAGTCACATCGCGCTCACACACCGAGCAAAGTCCTACCACATCCCTACGACATGCACTGCAGGACCATCCAAACCCTTGTTCACCTAGACATGTCTTTATTTCGCCAGCCGGAGCCGGGTCAACACACTGAATCTCCCGCACCCCAACTTCATAACTCCCCGCTCCTACGCCGGCCGGAGCCGGGAAGTGACCTACAACTGATTTCACATCCAACCCACTTGACCCCTCAGGTTCATCGCCCCAAGGCTCAACAATGCTCTCCAGCACCTCAGCAAAAGATACATGCTTGTTTAAGTTTATGCTATTTTTATAGGGGGTTTTGTGATTTTTGTTTTGTTTTGGGTTTTCGGCGTCATCATGAACACCATCCACATGTGTGGGGAAAACTGAATCAACACCTGAAAAACTGAATTTATGATTGGGGTACTCTCCCCCCTCCCGAGATTCGGGAGACTGCACCTCGAAAGGTAATGGAAAACCTGATGCGCCAAGTTGCTCGCGCTCGGCTGCGGTAAGCAGCAATGAACCCTTAACG